GATGACTGACCTCTAAGAACGAGGAAAAAGTGTAGTAGAAAAAAAAAAAAAAAAAAAAGAAGAAAGAGAAATCTGTACATTTACACGCAGTCGTATGGACAACGGATGAAAGAATATATGTACATACATACTCATGCGGGCAACTTCATTTTACCCCTACTTCTCTTTTCTTTCTTTCCTCTCTCTCTCGCTCTCTTCAATACCTTCGTATGTGTGTCCCAACTCTGATGACTAGCCATATAGTTCTGTATACTGAATGAAAGTTGGCAATCATCACTGATGGGTGGTTATGTCAATCATACAAAAAAGAAAAAGACAGCCTAAAAGCAGCATGTTCTTGTGTATCCTCCGTGATGAATCAACAGTTGTTGATTCTCGTTTTTTTTTTTAATATTCAATTAACATGATGACGAATAAGATAAATACTTGTACTTAAGATTATGATCAATGATATGATTACATCAGAAATCGTTACACATGAAAGATATTATTAAAACTGTCTAATCAGATCGAACAGCTTCCAGCTTAAAATAACAATATATAGAAGTTAATGATTAGTAAAGAAAAAAAAAAATATGATAATTGGCTATAAAATTTTTATCAAGATTTTAAAAATGTTTTTTTTTTATATTAGAGTTCGTTGGATTAGTTCCAAATTTGATAGTCAATGAATGAAAATAGATATTGATTTGAATTTCTTCTTTTTTGTTTTTTTTGAGCAATATATTCATATTTGAAGAATACGGAAGTGCACTTATTTTCTTAAAATATTTACATTACAATTGTTTATTTACCCTCGAGTGCCGACTTTTATTTTATAAATGAATAGAATTTCAACATCATGAATTTCATTAAAGAAGAAAAAACATTAAGTGAGAATGGTTGATAACACTATTATTATTATTATTATTTTCAAGTCTCTGTTTTTAAAATTAATCATTGAAGAGATAAATTGAACGAAGGACAATTGTTAGAATGATTAGTCAACGTGTAATCCATTGGAAAAATTATGTTGATTCAATACAATTGAACTCATTTGATGATAAAAGAAATAGAAAAAAAAACAACTTGATATTGAGCTTAGTCAGATCGTTTAGACCTAGATCCTGTCTGAAAGGACTCTAATCGGAAGATTATTTTAATAAATATTTGACTTTCGAAATCTTTTCTAATTGTAATATGAAATGGATTTTTACCTAAAAAGAAAATCGATGATAATCAGTACATTAAACTAATGGTGTTCTTTCAACTAAAGATAAAATCTTTCTCTTGTCTTCATGATTTATATGTTTGTACAAGTACTTTCTTATTTTCTCTTATTGAATAAATAATGATAAAAATTTATTTCTTCAATAATCAAACCTGAGTTGTTCGATCTGATGGAATTTTTGCAATACTTTGACGAAATGATAATTCAATGTTAGAAACCGAGAGTGACATATTATTTGAATATATAATTTACAATATATACAATATTAGTCTGAATGTCATGTTGTTTTCTTTGTTCATTCAGCAAACATTAACAGAATACTATATCTAGAAAGATAAAAAAAAAAAGTCTATAAATAATTTTTCAATATTAAAAAAAAAAATCTAATCTGTATGTTCAATATTCAAATGTTCATTTTTAAACGAAAATAATTTCATCAAGATTGATATGATACAATAAAATTTTTGGAATTTTAATAAAAATAATTTCAAATATTTCCAAATCTAATAAATATCTTTTTTCTGCTTTTAGTTCTGCACTTAGTAATACACATGTTAGCGAAAAATACAATATGATTTTCCAGTAATGTCAAGGTGCTCGTGACATTTTGCACGACTCGCTTGACCTCTAATATACTTCCTCTTGGATATTCATTACTTTTTTCCCTTCAGCTGACTAATTCCGAACGTTAATTTGTTTGACAACTCTGTCGTTTACGAAAAAAAACAAAAACCAGAATTCATTTTGCTATTAAAATCTTGAAATAATTGTTATTGAATAATTTTCGCATAAACTTTTAGCAGATATGAATCGTGAGAATATGATATTTGACGAAAGTTTCACACAACCATAAAAAAATATCAATTTCAACGAAGAAATATTGGTCCTGGTCTCTCGATCTAAAAAAATTTTTAATTCCGATTGCTGTTAAAAAAAATTGTTTTGTCCCCACCTCGGTAAAAAAAAAATGATTCCGGTCCCAGCAAGAATAGGACCGGTACCATGCTGCCCATATCCAATATAAACAGTATTTCATACTAAAATATATTTTTTGTTTTTCATTTAAAAACAAAACAAATTTTAATTTATTTTAGCCAATAAGAAACACACATGCGTCTGGTTTTTTTTTCTCTCTTTTAAATACAAAAAAAAAAAGAAAAAAAAAGGGAAAACGAAATGAATAAATATTTTAACCTTATTATGATGGTTGATATGGAAAATTACCAAGGGTTAATACAAGTGGCATATTAGATGGAGGTGAGGGTTGAGAAGTATTAGATAATGGGGCAAGTACAATGTTCATTCCATTAGTTTTTAAAGAATTTAAATCAATTGTAAATGAATTTGAACCATTTATAGATTGTTGTTGAGAATCTGCATTGACTAAACATGATAAAGGAACAGCTATTGTTGGTGGATATATTGTTGTTGGAAGAGGTACACATGAAGTTGAAGCATTGACTTGTTCAATTTCATCGGTTGGTTTTAATTTAGGACGTTTATTAGGACGAATTTCGGTAGGTGTATCATCTATTGTTATGAAATTAAAATAGAAAAATGATTAAGAAAAGAAAATTTTTTGTTTGTTGTATTTTTTTTTTGACTTACTATCTGTAGTTAAATTTGTTCGTTTTTTTTGTTGATTTTCATCAATAAATATAACGTCATTATTATTTAATGTAGTTGTTGATGGTGGAGGTTCAATAACGGACTCATCTTTTGCAAGACATGTTTGAATAAGCGCTTTGCCGGCTTCACTTGTTATCATTGGTTGTAATTTTGGAGTTGCATACGTATAAACATGACCTAGTAGTTTATAAAAAAAACAAAACAAAGATTTTGATTATTTTTAATTATAATATTAATTTGTTTTTATTTACCAGTTTCAGAAGCAACAAGAAGCATAACTTCAGTACCTGTTAATGTTGCTAATTCATATGCTTTTTTCATAATACCTGTTTTACGTTTTGAAAATGTTGTATATCGTCGAATTTTATTATCAATATAAGCCATTTTTATTTTCACACGACCTAATGTTTTTTTATTTATTTTTTTATTTGTTAAATTATCAATAGATTCATTAGAACGATCATCGTCATCTTCATCAATAAATTCTTCATTATCATCATCAGATGGAATTGAATTAAAAGATGTATGATGAATTGAACTGTTCGTTGTTTGAAGATAAGATGAAGAAGACATCACTGTTTTGTTTTTGTTTTTGTTTTTTTTTGTATATACGTATGATTTAGTATGAAAAAAGAAAATCTGTTGATTATAGACGAGTTTTTTTGGCACAATGAGTCATACAAATATAAAGAAAGAAAGTAAGTGGGTGGTCATTTATGGATTGGCTAAAAAACATTGAAATAAGTCGAAGTTTTCTGTTTAGTAATGACATCTATTCAATGTCAAGTAGAATTATACATAGATTAAGAATATTACAAACCTGAAAGCTATGTTATTTTTTTTTTTTTTTTGGTAATATAAATTTTAATATTCAATGTACACTTCATACTTAAATATAGTAGAAATACGAGAAAAATATTACCTAAAAGGTTAATTTTAATGAATTAAATAATTAAGGATATTTTGTTATTTAAAATAAAAAAATATTAGGAATGGACACTATAAACTATACATTAGAAATCGTATAATGAGATTATTTCACACTTGATAATCATAGTTTTCGTTTTTTCTTCATAAAGAATTTCAATAATTATCGGGCTTACCCGAATTTCGCCAATAAGACTTTCGCCAACTGGACATTCGCCAATGGCGAAAGTCCAGTGGTACATTGGCGAATGTCCTGGACGTGTATTGGCGAAAGTATAGTGGACTCTCACCAATTGAAAAAAGTTTGATGGACTTTTACCATTTGTCACAGAAGAATATAAATGTTGGATATGAGCGAGAAGGATGGGTATCAGTATATATATTGGTACTGTCTATTAATCTACATGTTACACTATTGAATGCACATCAGACTCTCGCCAATTGGCGAAAGTCACCAGAGTNAAAAGTTTCTGGAAATTCCATGGCCTTCTATTATGCCTTGTGAGTTTTTTTCCTGGGGTGGCCTTCTAATGAGGGTGGCCTTCTAATATAGGGTGGCCTTGTATTCTGGGGAGGGGTTTAGCAGACGTATGTAACTGTTCATTGCTTTTGATCAAATGGTGAACTCAGAACTACAATGAGAGGATAGCGATGTTTAAACGATACCTTCTGAGCTAATGTATTGGTACGTATATAGTTTTCTGTATCGTTTTTATATGAAAAAATGTAATAATTCGTGAGCAAACAGTTTTTATCATAGTAAAACAGTGAGTAACAACATCTAAAGATCCCGATTGACGATTAGATTTTAAAAATTCATCAATAAAACAATTAACTTCATATCTAAATCTCGACATTATTTGTTGAAGTTATCCTCAATTAATGAAAGTCATGACGAGTATCCTTTCAGAATTACTTACTATTATTCATTAGAAAGTTTTAATAAACATTGAAATCTTTTAGTGACTTTCTCTCGATTTTCAAATTTGAATTCTTTTATACAAAAAAAAAAAAGTGATTAGCAGGACTTTCTAAACGGCTTCTTTTTGTGAGGGTGCAATGATCACCTATCTTCTATGTTGCTTGATCTATGATATCAAGGAACTGAAGGATTAAACGAGAAACTAAGGGTAATCGTTTTTTTTTTCGAATTTTCTCACTGTTTATGTGAATTTCGAATTACGTACAAACAAATCCAGAATTTTCATTCCGACTAATGAGAATAAATAATATCTTACTGTGAAAACGGTAAACCATATTTTTCACAATAATTTAAAAAACAATGTTTTATACATGTACGTATTGTTAATGTTTGAGAAAATAATTGTTGACATAATGCATAAAAACATAATGTTGATTCATTCATAAATTCAAATAAACTTTGTTCAATTAAATCAAAACTTATTTCCCATTTATGATTATTTTGTATTGGTATTAATAAAAGTGATTTTTTTATTATGATATTTAAATGATATTTTGATGGCCATTTACGTTTTGAATTACGTATTGATTGTGTATAATAATTATCAAGTAAAGATTTAGGCCAACGATGAAGTAAAAAAGCAAATGAATATTGCTCATAATCAATATGAATTGTATCATTAGAAGTGTTTTTATTATCAGATAAAAATGTTGAAGAAAATGCATCAATTATATTGGATTTTTCTTCTTCAAGATTTGTCTGTGATGAATCATTTAAATACATAAATGGAGGAAGACGTAGAGCAGCGAAAGTTAAATTATTCTCTAATGAGGATGAACTAAAATACAAAAACAAGGAAAATAATTTCTATTGTTGTCCTTTGAATATACTAAATACATCTAGAGAAACTTTAAAGCTTTTTAAACAAGTTGAAATAAAAAATTCGTTCAAAAAAAATATTGAGAAGGTATGTCTATATTAAGATTTTTCTTCTTTTTGTAAGACGTGGAAAAGAAAGCTACGGAAGAAGTTTTGAGACGTGATTTTAGATCCTAGAGTCTTGCTCATAGCACCTTCGGAATGAGAAACAATGATTATCATAAGTAGAATTTCTCATTGGAAGAATAATCGCAGCGCGATTTTTACTGTTGGAAATTTTCAGAGTTGAATTTAACATAGGTATTAACTAACAATGAAGAGCGCATTAGAAAAAAGATACCTCGAACCTATATTACTTTTGGAAAACTAAATATTGAAAAAAAAATGTTAATGTTAACATCTGGAAAGAGAAGAGAGTCTCTTAATTTATATTGAAAACCTAAAACTCATACAGTTATTCCGAGATATAATTAACATTAAAAGATTAATATTCACAATTTTTGCTAAATACACTGATTATTCGATTCAATGAGAAACATTATTTTTAATAGAACTGTCACTGTATGTTATATGGTTTCGGATACAATATGTTATATTATAAATAACGATAATGATTATTTACTTTGTATAATTTGTTTGTTGTTTAATCAAACAAGTAATATGACTTCCATCACCTGTTAAAAATCGTTTAGCTATTGCACATGTTTGATTAACAAGTATTAATGTATTGAACCAATGATGAATTAAACTTGATGATAAATAATAAATATTATCATCGGATGAATGATAAATAAATGGTAAAAAATGTTTAGCAAGTTTTTCTTGATCAATACGTAAATATCCTGTATGAAATGAATCATTTGATATAAATATACATAATGGTTCTTGTTCAATAGATACTTTTTTATTTATTGTTATATCATCTTGTTCTTTTTTTTTATTTTCAAGTGTTATAACAACATGTGTACGATCAAGTTCAATAGATTTTTTCTTATATTCATCATCATCAATTTCAATTTTACGATCTGTTATTGGTATAAAATAAGATTTTGAACGTATTTGTTCATGAATTTTATATGTACTATGTGTATTTGTTGATAAATTTGGTAATATAGATTCTGGTGGTGTAATAAGAAAAAGATTTAAATTATCAGCTAAAATTTGATCTATACCAGCTAATGGATAAATAATTGTTGATAATGAAAAATGATTTTTAAATGTTTGTCTTAATTTAGTATTATTTAATCGTACAAGAAAATCTTTTAAATAAATATTTAATTGAATTTGTTTTGCTAAATTTAAATATTCACGATTATATTTTAATGTTAAAATATTTGGAAAATCATCTTTTGATAAATTTCCTTCTATTTCTATTGATGATCTTTCATCTTCCTAAATAAATCAAAAACAAAATTAATTAATTCGTTTCTTTTCTTATGACGGAAGTCCTTCTATTGGGAAATCACTTTAGAGCTAAGACTATATGCAATTGATAGGATCTAATGAGTAGATAAATGCCTCTAGAATGGTTCGAGTTACTAGCATATAGTTTTCAAGGGAAATCATACTTTTAAATTTTGACCTAAAGCTTAGCGCACATAACGGCACTGATTAGAGAAGTTTGTAGAAAAAAAAAATCGAAATTTTTCTAGTAGCGAAGAAACGTTTTCAACTGATCAATCACTTTTGAATTAGGACTCTGTGCATAAAGTAGATCCTAATGAGATATAAAATGCTGCCAAAGGATAAGTTGTCTTATACTTTCTCTTCAGAGTCATAGGCATTTTGCTGGGATTTTAACCTCAGAGTTGGTATCTACTAACAAATCAAATGACGGTATTTTGACCTTTTCTATTTATCAATAGAATGTCCGAAAACTTTCAGCTTGGAAGAATGTTCCCCTTTCGAGATATTAAAGTTTCAAAAGTCACTTATATTCCATGGAAGATGCTAGAATTTTCTGTTTTTTTGGGACATTGATATCTCAAGAAAGAAATATTCTTTTAAATTGAAATTTTCAGAATACTTTACTGGCAACTAGATTTGTTTGTGAACAAAATCTCAAGTCGAATATCGTCATGCGATTTGTTAGTATATACTAAATCACTGAGTAAAATTCCAGCAAAATGCCTGTAACTCTGAATACAAGGCATAAGACAACTTATCCTTTGTAAGCTTTTTATATCGCATTGGGATCTACTTGATGCACAGAATTCGAATTCAAAAATGATAGAAAAGTTAAAAGCGTTCCTTCGTTAGCAAAAAGTTCTGAAATCTTTTTATACATCAGTTCAATCAGTGTCTTTATGCCGGCTAAGTTTCAGATGAGAATTCAACAGTATAGTTTCGCTTGAGAACTAAAATCCTATAGAAAAAACCCACTGAAAAGTCGATATTTCTATGGATTGAATATAGTTTCAGCTTAAAAATAATTTATCATTTGGAAATCTCTTCTTGTAAGTCGAGACTACGAGCATTATGTCGACTTGAATAAGCTATGAATGCTGTGAAAACATTCCAAAGGATTAAGTAAAATGATGGTGAAGAAATATATTCAAAAATAGGAAGAATAAAACAATCTGTTGTAAATGAATGCTGTGGTAACAGCACAACTGATTTTCGAATTACGGCAAGAAGCTTTACCTAGAGGCAAGTGTTAACGTTAATGTGTCAGATACTGTCGCTCTTTCTATTCTAAATTAAAATTATGGTGAAGGCATATCTTTTACGTCACACAGTGGGTATTAACATGGACATTAATTGAAAAAATCAAAGTGAGCTTTTTCAAGTTTTGAATCGTAAATAATACGATTTAATTAAGAATCAATTTCTTTGTAAAAAAAAAACACGTTTCGCCCCAGCTGCTAAATTCAGCACCTTTAGAGAAAAACATTATGTTTTGTGAAAAATAAAAAGAGTTGGACAATAAATCATACATAGTCTGAAACTAGGACATCTGCTCTATAAATTTACTAGAAAACTTTTTTGTGAAAAAAGAATTGTTCTTTTTAAGCTAAATATTTTCCGAAAAGACGTCTGTAGTAAATTTGGTCACCAATTTTTCCCACTAATCCAGTATAGACGAAACTTTCAGAGATACACTCAGTTAGCGCCAATTCTTCGGAATTGAGATACAGGTTTTCTAAAAACCATGGTTTTTAAAAGTTTTTTCGAGTTTTGTTTGTCACAGAAGCACATTGAGAGAAAAATCAAGACATATTTGAATTCAGGATCGGAGAAAATCAAAAGAGCTAAAGTATCTATCTCTATATAAAGTTTCAAGTCGAAATTTGAAAATCATTTTTTTTTTGTTAGTATGGTATCCATTAAAAAAATACCGTAAAAGTGTAATATCTCCACAACAATAAGCTAAGAACACAAACTCTTTTCAGGGTATTCATAGCTTATTAAGATCAACATCATGTACATAGTTTCGAGTCAAAAGTAATTACTCAGTTGAAGAATTTCCCTTGTCAGATAAGAAAAACAACAAGACCTATTTAGCTTACTTGTCTATATGAACCATTAAGAATACTTTCATTGTATTCATCACCTATTGTTAAACTACGTTTAATTTTTTTATTATTTGTTGATACTACTGTTCGAATTGGTTTGTTACGATTTAATGATGGCGTACCTAGTATAGGTAATGAATCAATCCATTGATCAATACTAGATGCACCATGAAGTGATTTTTCTAAATCTTCAATTGATAATCGAGCATGTTCTATTGATTGAGAATAATATGTTCGTTTTGTATTAACTAATGCACCACGAAATGATCGACCGTTTGGTGGTAATTTTGAAACAGTTGTAGATTTTCTTGGTGGTAAAGGTGGTTTTGATTGAATAGAATTATTTTCGTGATTTTCATTTGAAGTATCAGGTAATGTTAAAATAACATTATTTAATGATACTGAACGACGATTATTTGATGTTGAAAGATTTTTATCAACTTCATCATGAATAAGAATTGAATTTGAGGGAATTGTTTCAATAAGAGGAGCAGTGTTTGAAGATTTATCATTTGATGTTATACGATCAAATGTTGGTAGACATTTTTCATCAATTGACAGTGATGATAACGATGAAGATTTCGATATTATACATGGACAACAAAAACAATGTTGTTTTTTTGTTGCTTTTTTTGATGATTTTGAAGAATTGTTTCCCATAATCGAATCACAATTTGATTTGCATCTAAAATAGGATGTAATTTCCCATCTTAGTCGATATATATATATAGATAGATAGATCTATAGAAGATAAAGAAAAGAATATATACATGTGTCAGGGTCATAAGTAAGAGTATTGCATTTCTGTTTATTACAAGGTTCATCAACAATTGTGCAAATGTTGATCGATTTATGTAATAAGCTTATCTATTACTCTCGTTTGAATGTACAAACATATACAAAATAAAGAAATGTCATGATTAAATAGATTTTTTTTGTTTTATGCATCAGATCAGATTTCACGGCGTTAGATGACGGGAAAAAAGATTATCCTCGTGAAAGATAGACAAAGACGGAAATGAATGATTAAATTTTTATCGACATCGAAAAAAGAAAAGAAGTTGGAGGAGGAGAAGAAAAAAGAATGTGTGTCCTTTTATAATAGTTTATACTTATCTTTATGTTTCATCTGAGCCAACATTGACAAGATTCATCGGAAAGAAATGTTCGTGTACACACAAATAGAACAACAATAAACGGAATAATACATATATGTGTACTCAAGTGATTAGTCTCCTCCTATTTAATTGTTCTAATCTACAACGGGTTCAATTTTATTTTTTCTGTCTGCACTTGAAAATGCAATGCTCTATGTTTATTTTTACAAATGAACTTTATACATATACAACGAGGAGGATCGATTGAATGTCGATTCATTTAAATCTGTTCGACCGATTTAAATTACTGCCACTCTACATGTCTTCTTTTCTCTATCACACACAGACAAAAATGAAGATCAAATTGCAACGAATGAGAAAGAAAAAAAGGTTTTTCGGATCTAATTGACAAATGAAGTAACGACATAAGTAAGAAGAAAATGATAGTTATGTAATTGTCTATTTCGTCATATTGAGACGTATCATTATCACTGAAAACTATCAAATGCGTACGTCGGTATAATGATAATGACAAAAAAACAGAGAAGAATAATGATCGATTGTCGACAAGCTTCCTGGAATGATAATAAGGGCTGAGTTTACGAGCAATAATTGATTTTTTCGCAGACAAACTAAGCTCATAGAGTGTCCTTCAGTTGTATACACAAGAAAAGAAATGACACTGAGTAATCTATCAAGTAAATAAGTACCATATTGATGAGATAGAAAGGAAAACCTTCACTCACGCCATCCATTAGAAAGGCATAAAATGATTACACATCAATGAACTAAATGTCTATCTGTGTATGTTTACACATAGAAACTGCACATCCAAATAAACAAACTTGAAAAAGAATGCAGTTAGTATGCATATGTATAAATAATGTCTCGACTGAACAATTAAGAAAGTTTCATTTATATTTGTCTTTTTAAAAAAGCATATTCATATGAAAAGACATATTTAACATTTATTCATTGTTTTTTTTCTTTTCTTTTGCTCTCATCTATATTCTTTCATAAACAAATCATTGCAGCTGTTTTTCCGAATTGGCTAGTTTATGTTCAATCACAGATGACACTAGAGGCTGGATAGTGTTTTCCAGATTGTTTGAAAATAAATCTTATTAACATCTTTGGTCCATATAACTCATAAAGATATCAATAAACATATGAGCATATGCTATTTAAATTCTATCTATCATCCAGTTCACGAGTATTATAAGGCAATGTGTCGATTGTTAAGTGAGTATTAATTTAATAAGATTCGTTGATGTAGAAAAAAAAGTCTATTTCATTCTGTCAAACGTCTAATAGAACTACTAATTGAATCTGAATTGTTATTGTTGACCGATTTGGTGTGAAAGGATAGAAAGAGATATACATAGTAAAGAAAGTTCAGAGAGAAAGACAAGAGCATGATAAAGCACATTTGATCCACTGATTGAACAGAATTGTGTCTCATCATTGATCATCAATAGATAAGTATCGATTGAGATTGTCTGAAAAGGTCAATTTGACCTTCATTGTATATTTCTATTCATTTTATAATTATTATTGAAAATAAAATAATCATAGAACTTAATTCAACTGCTATTAATATAGCAATACTAGATGCTTATATTTACGATGTAAACGATAAAAACGTTTGAACAAATAGTTATAAAAATATTTCGACTGCTGTCAAAAGTCTTCCAATATCTTCTATTTCAAACAACTGTTGTTACTGTATTAAATTCTCATATAAATTTCTATTAAAGCGCTAAAGAAATAACTTTACTATTAAGAAGTTGTGTTTATATATCTTTTGTGTTTTTATTTTCATGAACAATATACTTCTATCGGTTATATTTATTTTTACAAAAAATCATCTCATTTTCACACCGAAATTTGTTGTTTTGCAAAACACAATTGTGAAATGAATGTTGATGTCTGTAGTAAGACAGTCACACTCCACCCTCTTCTCCAAAATGATACTTTTATCTGGAAGATAACAAAATGTGTATTATTCAACTTCTCTCATTACTGATGATTTTACCAAGCAAAAGAGATATGGTCATATATAGGAAACTATAAACCTTTGATTCAGTATTGTTGAAAGCATTTTGAGTAAATTGCGAAACTTAAAGCACAGAAATAATGGAAAATAATTCTTTCGGAGTTCAAAAACAAAGAATATCACACACATAGGTATCAAGTGATGAAAAAGGAGAAAAAAAAGAAGACTGAGAATGAGATACTCAAAAAATGTTCTTCATGTTCTTAGTCACAAGCATAGATACTTCACGGTGAACCATTTTGAGTATAATTTCTCGATTTCCGTACTCTGATTGTGCGGTTCTTATTGTGTTATTTCTTCCTGAAATCGCTATTTATTTTTCCTTGTCGACGCCAAAATGAAATTTCTTATCGTTTTAAGTATTCAAACAGATGCAAGACAATGAGGCATTAATTTTTCAACTTTCCAAGTAGATTGTCATGTTCAGAATAAATGGACAAGATTAATTATGATTTGACGTGCGTAGCAAAAAGAGCAATATCGAATCAGTCATATTCTATCAGTTGAACAAATCAAATATATGCTGTAGGTATCAGTAAAACACTATCATGTATCTTGGAATGTTTTTTCACAAGGAAAAAGAAAATGAACAAGAACTACTGTTTTGATATATACTTGGCATGATAAATCACTGTTATACATAGACAAATGACATTCATCAAAGTGAAACATTCATTAAAAATCCGTTCGTGATTTTGATTTTCGCTACTTTGTACATTTGTTATTTTGGTAGCAGCTTTTATACCTTTTCATTGAGATGATCATCTTGTTTCTCACAAGAATACTTAGAAGAGAAGATAATTATTCATATAAAATGTCATTATAAAAGACCGAGCTTTCTCTATTCTCTACATTGGCAAAGAATGTAAAAAGACGCTAACTAGAATGAATTTTTCCTCTGACTCGTTATCAAATAATAATACGATTATTCATAACACTCGATAGTCAGCTGCTTCCCTTAATACACATCGAAAAGAAAAGAAAATCGAGATTGTGCTGAGCCACGAACTCATATATCATATTCAAGATTAAATATGTCAACAACTATACATGCTATGGTGTCTGGCTTATCTCCTTAGTTTGAGTCAACTAGAATTAAAATGTGTTAATATAGTTTTGGACTATTTGCCAAAAAAATCACATATAGATACAAACATTTCGGTAAAAAGCAATTGATGTTCAAAAAACAAAACAGGTTTTGGAATCGTCTATGTCGGTAGGAAACTACCAGAGTTCATCAAGATCCAATAAAAAATGGATGCGTAGATAGAAAAGAAGCATTTAGGCATTGCAAAGTGTAATTAGACTTGAAATGGTGAATGTTGGCAAATGTGCTGCATGCTTTGATGTAAAGCTGTTACAAACAAATCTATATTCGATAAAATTGAAAACAGAAACAAATTTAGTAGGAACATCCATAGAAGAACATAAAACGAAAAATAAATGTGTGAGGAGGAAATAAAGTAGCTGTTGAGCAAGCTCCATTCAACATTTTGTGTCTTCATATCAAAGATGAGTTCGAAAATGTATTTCTATGAAGTATTGCGATTAATGAGAAAAGATATAGCAAACACAAAACGAATAAAGAATGATCCAGAGTAACATAACAAATGAAATATAAAAGAATGGGAAGAGTGAAAATTAAAGCTATAATGAACTGTGTGAAATCATTGATAAAGACATGAACAAAAAAGTTGTGAGAAATAGAAGAGGTAACAGTCAATGTTTCTATAAATGAAATTTTGTCCGCAATTATATGAGACAAAAATAAACTTTAAGAAAAATTTGAACGTTTGATAAAGAAGAAAAATGCATATTTTCATTTGAGAAACAGAGAAGCTATCTATATGGAAGTGGATTCAAGCAATCGAGAATTTCTATATTTTTCAGAGATAGTGTTTAACGACAAAAGTGAAACAATGTGTCTTTACTGCAATGGAATTTGATTTTCGTAATAGTTTGACATACAAAAAATTGTGATAGTAATATAAAAAACTATGATTACGGAGCAGTACTAGGCCACTTCAACCATTATTTCTTCATTTTGCAATCGTATAAGTATTGTGCATTTAACAATATGAATAATCATATAAATTATCTTCATTAATTAGGCTATGCATTTGGCTTGAGTGATATTCAATAAAGAATGCAGACAACGAGTTTCGTCGTATTAATAAGACTTGAAACGTTGACATTTATTATAGTTCCTATTACATATTTCTTCAAGAGTTAATTGTATTATTGCCAGTGGATTGAATCACGAAGAAGGACGAGATCTGTGTTCGTGTCTTTGATGATGATGTTCTTCATCTTGCACATGAACTATCGCTATTTCTCATCTATTGAATCTTTATAATGATGTTCTGGTTCGTAGGAATGAAATACTTCACTTTACAGATAAATATTTTCATAAATTTATATATAAGTTGGTCACATGGAGCATCAGCAAATTCTGTTGATATTTGCTTGATCCATAAATTCATCATTCAATGACTTATTATGATTCAATTCGTAGAATTCATCATTCCACATATCTACATATTTGATCATTGTTGATGATGTTGATAAATTTAATTTATTTATGCAATCAACCAATTTCCTTTTCTTTAGAAATCGTTCCATACTTTTTTCCAAATAAGACAAAGAAGCTCTGAATGAGCTTGATTTTATGGAATTAGCTTATCGAAGATGAAGATCAATATCACATTTCCATTCTGCTGATGTGCTAGTTTATTTCAGATATCATTTAAATATGAGTTGATGAAGACTTTTAACAGGAATATTATAAAGCTGATGAAATATAACTTGTATTTTAAGTAGACAATGGAATTTTTTTAGAAGATAAATACCGTACTTCGCTGACAATGCTCGACGGTAAGTTGTATCTAATGAATGCAATCTTCCATGGAGTAGATTTATGTGATAGTATATCGTCTTCAGTGTCAATAGTTAAGTAATTGATGTTTTTTGTTTGTTTCAGCAATGAATTCATTCAGCGTCGATAGAGTTGTCAATCTGCGGATGCATTAAGACGAAAACTTGTTTCATGGTTGAAATTATATCAATTTTTCGTATTCACACTCTTGTAAATCTTCTTTAGCTTTAGAATTAATCGGTTTCCATAAGTAGGTAATATTTTAACAACTGATATAATGGAGGAACAAAATTTTAATGATAAAAATTTCTTTTGTGGTGTAAAATCTTTTTTGAGAAGTTCATTCAGTTCATTTTTGAATAGATAAAATTACTTTTTTTAATATTAATTATAGTGTTGTTTCATTCTGTGCATATTTCTATGATATATGATCATGATAAATTACTTCAGATTTGTATCAATGTGTCGTAGTATGTCAAAAGACAAGAAAATTAGATAAAGTCAAGGTTTAATATAAGTTTGATCATTAATGTTTTCCTCTACACTGAATCCATATAAGGGTTTATTCCTTTTGTGACAATAGTTATTATTATCATATGTCTGACAGTAATGATATATTGACAACGTAATTATTACTATCAATGTTATATAGTAATAGAAAATACTGATAATTATTTGTATACAGATGAGTATGTTTTGAGAGTTGTTTTATTTCTACAGATAACGGTTAGTTGTGAATGCTATTATTTCGCATGCACAAAATGAATAGCTAAATGTAATGTTAGAAACTAGCAGCAGCGCGTGGCATGTATATGAAATAAAAACAAGTGTCGAATCGCAGAACGCAAAAGGCATGGAAGAAGATACTAATAGTAACAGGACAGAAAACAACAACCAAATGCACCATATAGAGCGATCTTCACAGAAATGAACAAAAAAAAATGTGATAGTTACAGCTTGTAATAGACAGTCAATGCTGATGATAGATTCTATTTATCTCAATGTTAACTTTTTAATAATATGATGTTTTGTTTCAAATGAAAAAAAACAAAAACCAACAGAAGAAAAATGATTTTAAAGTCCGTTTTTTCCTGCTCATCGAAATTGAAAATGTATTTCACGAAAATTTTATCAAAAGTCTTAGAAAAAATTCCAAAGAAAATCGGCCAAAGTTGACTAGGTGCTAAACTGAGTAAAAACATATACCATAGTGACACAGATCACACCTATCAATTCTGCCGGAAGCTGAATAGTAGCATGAGGTCAATATTGATTTGACAAAACGATTCTATGTTGAGAGGAAAAAGAAAATCGTTTCGGCGACATCTCGAATTGAAGAGAATTATGAAAATAATCAAGCAGTACGAAAACAGAGAATGGAAAGTAGAAACCGACAAAAGGTAATGATATAATATATGAATAGTTACTCATTTTTCTACCTGTACTACAACTGCCATCTCATAGCGTTATAATCAGGTTCGCATGGTCTCAAGTGAGATTAATGTGAATGCACTTTATTTTATACATGTGGTGTAAGAGCATGAAACTAAAAATTTAAATAAAGTTAAATGTCCTATGAAGAAACAACTTATGTATAGGAGTTGATTTTCGGTTAGAAAAACTGTATCTGACGTTTTTTGTATCCAAGCGATGATCTACGTAAGATTCATTTATGCTACTAAAAATAAAAATATCAGTAAACCACTTTTTGATATAATTCTGTCTCAACGATCAAGAAGAGTATATTGCAGTAAAATAAACGTTATCTCTTCATATTGATTGATTGAATCTCATAAGAAATCGGTCATTATTTTTGTTCTCCTCCAGTGTCTGACCCGTTCGGACCGAAAATTTACAAATATACAGAAGCACTCTAATTTTATTGTTGCTAGTCTATCGAAATTCAGTGCGATTTCGAGAATAGAATTAACATGTCAAAAAAAATTAACTGTAGCCGAGACAATGACATCAGGTTACTGTTTACACTTCAAGTTATGTCAATACTTATTCACCTAAAATAGGAATCTTTTGATGATTTCTTCTAACATATAGTTCACTGTGTGTATGAACGAGAAAAATGTTATAGGTCATACAAAATGTAAATCTCATAGCGAAGATTTTATCAGTAAAGGAAATCAAAAGAGGTACTATTCTCCAAAATGGAGCAACTATGGAAGCCTTTCAATTGTGATCAAATAACTGGTGTTTGTAGGTTTTCATAAGTACTGTCATACTGTTCGTAAGATGCTAAATTGTATGTAAATGATGTTGGCAACATATTCATAGATACTCATAGTCACTATTTCAACTCATTAAGAGTAATTCTTTGTCAAGATTATTGTAAATCAATGCTTATTGATTCTGGAATAGCGTTTGTTATTGTTTTTTGTATACGTTCTGGCATTGATTCTAGGTATGCGTAAGTAGTCAAGCGGTGTTAATAGACACATTTTAGATTGAATTATGTCAGTTATCTTTCGTGTTGCACCAAATGACTGTTCGAGAGTATTGATGGGCATAGTTCATGAAGTTTTATATACTTATCTGCATGAACCTAAATTACCTTTTTGACTGAAGTATTCGCAACAGTCTATGCTTTTTACAACAATCCTTTCACCTGTAACTATTCTTTTTAAAATTAAAATGTAAATTAAAGTTAAAGCATCGCATATATGCTTGAGAATCAAATAGAAATTCGTAATTCAAGTATCGCTAAAAGGTTTTCTGTGTTTGTCCTAGTGAGCTATTATTTCATTCTCTTAGTCTTCATTTATTTTATGCTGCAAACAATAAAGAAACCATATATATTCTTTATTTTTGTCACTTGCGAAAGTCATGTTGAATCAACATGTGAAGGTTCTCAATAAAGTTTCCTCAATGATTTAGACATAAAAAAATTTTTTATTAATATTCTGAAATATCTTAGTTCGCCTTTCTTTTTTCTTTTTTGCAACATTTTAAAACAAACAGAAACAAATTATTTATCTTCATCAATCTGTTCAAGATAACACGTTTCAGTATTTCCATTCATGAGATCACCGATTGTTTCATCACCAATTTGTTCATATTGATAACGTTTTCGTGGATAACCCCATAATAATTCAAATTGATTAGGTACATTGGAATTTGTCCATGCAAATTCAAATAAAAGTTTAGCGGAATCATTACGACGGAAACGACGACGAATGGGTTCATCAGCTGGTAAACGTATTGAAACTTGAATGGTTTCATTTTCTGTTGATGATGGTTCTGAAGATAACGTTTGTTTTAAACGATTACGAAATTCAGCAAATTCCTTAATTATAAAAGAAGTTAATTTAATTTTCTTTTACTCTTGTTTTATAGATTACTTGAAGTTTTCTTTGTTGTTCTTCTTCTATTTTGCGTCGTTCATTTTCTTCACGTAAACGTTGTTCAGCCTTAATTAATAAAACATATAATAGAAGAAGAAAAATTAAATATAATAAACTTTTTCTTGATCAGCTCGAACTGAATCTAAATAAGCAGCATTTTGTTCTTCTAAAAGACGACCTCTCGAATCGCTGACATTTCTCCGTTCACTATAATAGAAGAATTTTTTGAATAAAATATATTCTGTTATTTCTATTAATTTACCGATTATATTGCAATGTTTGATCAGCATGTTGGATACCATTAATAATTTCTGCTAAACATTCATCAGGATCTAAATTAATATAAAAAAAGTAAGCAAAATGTCAAGTCATTTTATATATAAAATCTATTTACCAGTATATCGCTCTAGTTTAAGTTGAACAGTTTGTTGTGAACCATGATGAACAATAATGCAAAAGCAAGGAAATACCTTTGCATTTAATAAACGAATACCTAAATGATTTTTGAAAAAAGATATATTATAATAGAAAGGCAAAAAACAAAGAAAAACTCACCATCAACTCCTTCTTGAGTATCTCGACTTGTACTCCATAAGAAATTATTACCTATTGTCGATTGTAGAGCTTCTCCACAAAGTACTTCGCTAAGAAAATAAATATGCAAAAATTAGTTTAAAGAAATACTGAGACATCGTGTTTTAGAATTTATTCGATTTGTTTAATCCTACAAATTTATCTATTAATAACATATATCCAAATTTCACTATATCAAAAAAGAACCATAGTTTCTACAGGTCAACCTTTAGCTTTAACAGGGTGCCTGACCTGAGTTTAATTCCTTTCGTTTGATAATAAAACATATCGCAAGATTTATACAAAAAAAATACAAAAGGTTCCGACAAAATAAATCTTGAAAGCTGCTGATGCGCTTAAGACAGAGTTGCAATCGATGCTGAACTAAACTGATTGATATAGTTGAATTCGTCAGTGTTCACCATTTGAATGATACTATTTAGCTATGTAATTGTTCTCCTACAGTATTTAATATCTTTAATCGAAGTGTATTTTATTAGATAAATATCATAATCAAAAGTATGTTACTTGAGCTCAACTTCTCAACTTATGTTATTAAAATTTCAGTAGAGACTTGCATTGAAATCATTTTTAGAAGTGATCAGAACTCTCTAAATTATCTATCAGTCAATTAAGTTGAACATTACAGATATTTTTGAATGTTAAGTTTGATTCTGTGGTATACATTGTACAAATTGAAATATTTTGGAGGCTCGCTTCAGGGCTTTATAAGGATAAAGAAAAGTCAGAGTCAAGGTTTACTTCGACATCTTTTTATGGGCGTAGACCTCGAGCAGATTATAATCGAATTCCAAAAATACATCAGTTTGTACAGTAAATAACAAAAAAATAAAACTTACAGTTCAAACAAAAAATCTCTTCTATTTAACCTGATTTATTAGTGAGATATTTAATTGGCTCTGATGCAAATCTCTAGTTTGGATATTGTTGTTCAAAAAGAAACGTTAGGCTTTTTCTGAAAAATCTGAGTGAAAAAAATTCAAGATTTGGTATATTGATAATCACATGTTAGGCAAATGATTTGTTTCTCGTATCAGAGAAGCGTCACATCTGTATCATGAGAAAAACCTACAGCTGTAATCTGAAATATGTTATTGAAGGTTTGTAAGAGCCCGTGCAAAAAAAACAAGGAAAAAGAATATTTTTTTGTTGAAGTCAATTATTTAATTTAATTAAAGACTACTTAGCAAACTGACCGGTTTTTATCGATCTGAAAAATTTTTTGAACAAGGCGAACCGGATTAATTTGAAAGAATCTCGATTGGTTACGATTTCATTTTATTCATATTCAAACCAACACAAACACTAATAGATCATATTTTATTCAAGCTTAATCTTTCGCAATTTTAACACGTCAAATTTCAAGTGATTCATTTTATGCGATGATTCAACCTTCCTGGTTACTTGACTGTTTATGGAATAACCGAATTCTTCGATTTTAGATATTTAACCGTATCAGTAGATGAGATCGATATGTAGTATTTATGCAAAGATTTCAAATTATCCATTCATATTAATCAAATATGATATTAAATAAAGATTAGTAATGATTTTTTTTTATCTTGTATTTTCAACAGAGTTCTTGCTGTAAATTGAGTTGAAAACTTACCGACAAAATCGATCGCATAATGATGAATTTTTATCGTGTAAATAAACAAATAATAAACGAGCTTCACGTTGAGCATCTCGAAGAGCCTAAAAATTTTATTTTTGCGTTTTAAAATCTTTTCAAGACAACTAATTTTAAATACTTGAGATAAAGTTCCACGATAAAATGTTTGATGGTTTGTACCATATTTCTTATTAAAATAAGTATAATAATTCTCAATTTCACTTAGTGGATCTGGCGGTGGTTCTTTCCATAATAATGATCGAACTACAAAAGAAATTAAATAGTGAAAAACAAAAATGAAAAACAGAATTTTTTTTTTCTCCTTACAAAATGAAAATGCACTACGAACAATGCTCACTGGTAAAAATGGTTGAAATTTTAAATAGAAAGTATATAAAAATGATAATGGCGTACGAAATAATTGTCTAAAAAATAATTTCAAATTAAATGATATTAATTGATTATAAAACATACAAAACAAAATTAGGCATATAACGAACAGTAACTGATGTATTATGAGGTATTGGTTGTTGTTCATTTGGTACTGATACATTAGGTGTCGAAGGATCAGAACTAGTTGTTAATGCTGTATTAACAGCACGTTCAACATCCCAATCATGTGCATTAAGATATTGAAGACTTGTTTCAGTAGAATCAATACCTGTAAATTCCTAATAGATATAACGAAAAAAAAATTATATTCAATTATACTAATTAAATTTATCACACCTGAAAACGAGCTAGAGTATTACTCTGTTCTTCTGTGAGATTGCTGCCTTCCATATAAAATTATGGTTAACAAAGTGTGTTGCAATATTAAGTTGGTTTTTTTTCCATTCACTTCTCTTTTTCTTTGCATTGATACATGAAAATCGAATCATAAATAAGTAATGACAGTTCAAGAGATGTCACTGTTTCATTTTGGAGTTTCAAAATAAAATATACATTGAATAAAAATTTGTTTCTTCTCTTGATTGATTTTGTTTTTTATTTCTGTTAGAATTAAATCAAATTTTAATAGATGTCAATACGTGCAGTGTAAAAATGAATCATGGAAAAATGGATTCGTGATTTCTGTCTTTATCTCTTATTTATTAAAGATATATATTGTTTATATGAATTTCTCATAGAACAAATAAAACTCATGACAACGAGTTCAAAGAATGGTAAGAGTAAAGTCATGTTTTCTGTCATATAGTACGAAAATATACTATACGTTTGTTTTCTCTCGTTTTTCTGTCTACATTCGAATTAAGACTAAATTAGTTTTCTTTTTCGTTCATTTGTTCTGATCATAAATAAGACAACTGCACTGTCATTCTGTATATAATTTTGTCTAAATCTAATTGATAAAATGTCATTATAACATTGTCTGGATTTCTACGCAGTTGTATTTCTTTTTACTTTACAGTCAAATGTTGTCCTTGATTTTTTCTTCTGTTACTATTGTTTTTTACTATCCGAATTCACTTGAGTGTTCATTGACTATATAAAAAGATAGTATTGTTCTTTTTCTTTTATATTGACATATTTTCATCGGATGTTGATGAACGATGTGAACACTTTTATTGATACATCATGTTTTTACGCCCACTTGATTCAGAGTGATGTCGTGATTTTTATGTCAATATTGGCATAGATTTAGTACGGATCTTATCGTTGAGGCTTGATCTTTCAATGATAAATCATAAACAAAAGTTGTAAAACAAACTATAGACAATCAAAATTCATGCTTTTACATTTTTTCACACTAAAAGAAGAATCTACTCAACATCAATTTTAATCTTCTTTCTTTCTCCTCATTCTAATAATATAAAAATTAAATTTGACACATCATTTTCCTCATTCATACACATGGCAAAAGACGCATCAACATTTACTTGATCCTACATGTTTCTGTCTTGTTTTTCAATTAACTAGAATTACCTTCCCCATCAACATTTGAACATGTACCTCATCTTGTTTCACAAACTAGTCTAACCACTGATACATTCTCATTACCAGCAACAACTACTAGTCATCGTAATTCACGTACATCAATTGATTTTATACGTGAAATGACTTGTTCATCACCATTACGACAAGAATATGCAAATTTAACTGTACTTGATGTTTATGATGAAGCAGCATTAATAGGAAAAGATTTTGAACGTATTATTGAAGGTGATTATTGGATTTTTTTCGTGTTCATATTTAATTTTATATTAAAATAGCTTATGGAACTGAAACAATTCGTGATCTTGTACCAAAAGTAATTCATATACTTGAATTACTTGAATTACAAGCAGCAAAAAATGAAAAAGAAACAGATAAATTAATTGAAATGAAATTACGTATTGAACGTTTAGAAATGGACAAAAATGAAACACGTGAATTACGTGAAAAATTTAACCAAGAACTTGAACTTATTGAAGAACAATGGCGAAAAGAAGTTAATAGATTAAGAAAAACAAAAGACGAGCTTTTTTTCGGCATTAATTTTTCTTTTGTATTATTAGGCTGATAATTTAATGGGACTTGTTTCAAAATTAGAAGATGAAAATCGACGATTACGTGATGAACTTCAACATAAGACTGATTTAAATGAAAAATCGAATTTACCTAGTCAAACTGAAATAATTAGTATGAATATTCTCTTTTTATTATTTTGTGAAAAAAAAACTTCTTTTTTTTTAAGGCATTACTCGTGAAGAACTTCAATGTATTAAAAATTTAACTGATGAAAACATGAAATTAAAACGAATGTTAAAAACTAAAGATAAAGAATTAACACAAAAAACACTCGATATAGAAGCTGTAAGTAAAAGATTAATTTGAATTGAGAAATTAATTCATATTATAAATACTTATTCAACCGATTAGAAAAACATATGATTCTAATCAAATGCTATTTCCTTATGTTTTCTAAAATGATTATTCTATTTCAATATAAAAAGTTATATGAAAATGCTTCTGACATTTAACAAATAGAACTTGAGTTTTTCGAACTAATTAATATATCAACTGAAAATATACATTTAAACTATCTGAAACTTTTCTAGGCTCAAATATTCATTAAATGAGTACGTCTTTGAGCTTAAGCGTCTGTTTTTTTTCCTACTATTAGTAAAGATAAAGCATAAGATATAAATTTAGATTCAATCTTCAGGAAGTCTTTTTTTTATGAATTATAGAGAATTAGAACTGACTTCAATCGAGTCTCAAGATATGTAAACTAAATCCCTCGTCGTAATAGAAAAGATTCACCTTGAAAGGAAATGATACGTCGGACGTAATAGGAGATCCACTGTCTTTTATTACAATAAGGAGTTTAATACCTTTACTTATACCTACAATTCATATCAATGTTCAGATATATAAAACACGAGTGCCTTCAAATAACACATGCATAAACTTTGTTTTAACTTTGAAAAAACCATTCATTTTCTTTTAGGTTCAAGGTCAACTTGAACGTGTTTGTAAATTAAATTGTACATTACGTCAAAAGAATACATTTTCTGCTAATCAAACTCAACGATTAATGGTAGAAAAATTTGATTTAGAAGTTCAACTTAAAGAAAAAGAAAATTTTATTAATCATATGAAAGATCGTGTTACTGATGAACTTGCTAGTCCAACATCACCTATGGTAAGTTTTTTGAGAAAAAAGAAAATAAAAAAGATGAAAATTTTCTTTGCTTAGAATCCAATTAATGATTTAACAGCACTAGAAGCTAATCAACCACGATTTTCACTTGAAGAATTAAGACAAGTATTATGGGAACGAAATGATTTAAAAACAAAATTAATGGAAGTTGAAGAAGAATTACGATTATTTAAAGAACAGTAAAAATCATCAATATCTATTTCTTTTTATTAAGTTTACTTTTGTGTTTTTTTCATAGAGAAGATGATGATAATAATGGCGCTGTTGAAGGTCCAATTCCATTAGAACCTGATGAAAAATTATATGGTCATAAACGTGAGGAATCAAGAATTCGTCAATTGTAAGTTCAATGTTTAATATTGTATTTCATTTTTAATACATTATTCATTGTTATCATAGCATGTCTTTGTTTGTGTATATGTTCTATTTATTTTCAGTGTGAAATTTTGTTTATTCTTTCCCACTATTGCTTGCTTTGCAGTTGCCTCACTGTGGTAAGCTTTTTCTATGAGTGAATCAAAGTCATGTTTATATACATGTACTGATTCATTTGCTTCGCTATTCATTCTGCATGAAATTTTTGCGTAAATTTTTATATCATCATGAATTGAGAATATTTGTATGTTTTCTTTTGGTAGACTATCGCCTATTTGCTTGGAGCTAGCAGTCAATCTCTAACACTTATTTCATTACTATCAATTTGAGTTTTGCTTGCAATGCTTTTGTTGAATTGTTGATATTGTTTTGTTTATTTGTTTTCAGCTTGCGTTCATTGTTTCCACCAACTAAACAATCAGCATCATTTAAAAAAAATACTCCAGTTAAATCGTTAGCAACTTCATCGACACTACTAACATCGAATGTAAGTGTTAGTCGATCTTATTCAACATTTTCTTCACCATATGTCGAACTGGGTCTTTCATCATCACAACGAATTTCTATTGGAAGTATTTTTAATAATAATCGACAAATCTCAGGCACAAAGATTCCGTTGCTTTCATCGCCATCATCTTGATAAAAAAACAAAACAAAATTATTCAAGCTTTTTCTTTCCGCTTTGCGTTTGTTATTTTTCTACGCTTTATTTATTATTTTGATGTTGTTTTTTTTTTCTTTGTTTTTTTGCTATATTTGCAATACTTCTAATATTAATATTGTACATTTGTGAAATTTTTTATGAAATGTTTTTTTTTTCTTATGTATTTAGTTTTCGATTTGTCTTTGGTGATTCTCCAACAACGGCAGCTGCAGTCGATACATTATCAAATGTACCTAGCAATGTAAGAAAATTTCCCTTTATTACCGATGTTCTCAGATAAAATTATACAAAAATCAAATGCTTTCGCAATACTTGTTTTGTTTGTATTTCTGTCGAACAATGTGCAACAATATCATTAATTATCGCTTATGTATCCGATAAAAATAATTACAAAAAAAAAAACGAATTACGATGTCCAAAAAAAAATGAATGTTTTCAAAAGAAATAATAAATTATATTAATGATTTTTTTTGCTGGTCATATTTTTTTTTCTGAGCTTTTTGCGTTGTTGTTGTTATGATTATTATTATTCCTATTTACAAATAAATTTATGCAATATATATATTCTAATTGAATATGATTATTTTCTATTCTATAATGAAATGATTAGTTATTCATCTCATATCGATGCATAGTAAGACAGATACATACAGTCTAGGATGACTACTGAAAATTATCTTTTGAAGATTTATTTACTAATAGCGTATAGTGCGTTTTGGTCTGTAGTTAGAAAAGATCTTTTAGTCCCGAAAAATCAACTAGTTCTTCATCCTAGGTTTTTTCCTCGAACTCGCCTGATTTTCTTCTTTACATGATTAAAATCAATATCAATATTTGTAGAAAAAACTCACAAAATTTCGGAAAAAATACATTTCAGATGTTGTTGAAGCTCTGAGATTTAAAATAAAATCTGATTTTCTATAATTACATAAGAGAAATATAATATCCATAACTCGAATATCCAGCTTCTAAGCATATGTATTAGGATATTGGCCTAATGAATTCCTTGCTCCCATATACTGTTAATTCGAGGACTTTGAGTGCTCTTTGTCTAACGAGATGGATATCCAACTCGACATCGACACTCATATATCTCCAAAATGAAAGGTGTAGGCGTAGATCTTACCTTCTTCAGTTGGATATTATGAGTCTTCTGAAACATAAATGAAGTTTTTTTCCATTAAGATGTATTAATAACTGTGCAACTCGAAAAATAGTATTACTTATTTCAAAATGGCTGGCGATTTCAAATAAACAAAATACTTGTCCATATTTCTCAAATCTATAAGAAATGATGGTACAAGCTTGATATTTATATCAAACCTAAATTATCATTATCGCAATTTCACATATAGGTCTATAATTACAAATACAATGTTGTATCTTGCGATCAATATAAAATGTTAGAAATTTTGTGATTAAATTCTCGTCAATGACAAATATTATACAATTAATGAGGCACAATTAGGTTCTGATTAGGAAGCCACAAGAGAGAATATCAAGCTCGATTATGATAGACCTATATAATACAGTGGAAAACATAATCCAAAAACCGAAGGTCTGTAGGCGCATAACAAACAAAATCCGCTTTGTTCAAAAATACTCAAATTCAAACTCAATCAAATTTTAAATTAATTTCATGATTGTCCATATACCTCAAGAAATCCTTGAGCAATTATCCGATACTGTTTGAGTTGGCTGAATAGTTTCCGAAGTCGAACACCGAGCTAGAGTTTGGGCTTCGAGCAAACTTCATTCTGATCAAATTCATTATTTTTTTCAGAATCACATCAAAACTTATCATAGTCATTACTAAATCAATAATTATAATACGAAAAATAACAGATTTAACATGTTCTTTTCAAGTATAGTTTCATCTCTAATCTTTTGAATGTTATCTATTATTTCTTTTCTTTTTTGTCCTCTAAAAATACAATGTTGACCGAGTACATAGTAATCTGATATTATTATTTAAACCAATTGAAATCAGATTTTGCAGTCAAACAAAGTCAATAAAAATTTATTTGTCATTGATAAGTATGATTTTTTTTTCTCGTATGATCAAATACCTTTTAATTTCTTATGGATTTTAAAGATTATCGAGATTTTATTCATAAGCATAATTTGTTTGAAATTGATCATTGGATTTTATTTATAAAAAAGAAGCCAAGAAGAAAAAAATACGAATATATGAGATAATTCGATAAATAAAGAAAAAAACTTTTCCACTGTCACTTTTTTTTTCTTATTTTCTATCATCTTTCAAATCATCACTGAATGGTAGTCTGTCTCGCACAAATAATCACTCGGGATGATAACGTACGATGAAAAAGAACAAGCGATAGAAAACAAAACGAAAAAGAATTCTAAAGAAGATGTCATGAAAAGCAATTTATGAATACAAGCATGAATAGAATAATATATAAATTAGACTGAACCAGCAGTAAAATGAATAACAAGACAAGTTCGAAAAACATATTCAGGATGGCTTCTTTTTAATTACGAATTTCGAAAGAACTAAAAATGAAAATAAATAGAAATAGAAATTAAAAAAGATTTATTCTTATATCAACATACTGAAAACCATCCTGATGATTTCATTTCTGGTTGTAAAGCTGATCTTGGCATTGCTAAATTTGGATTTAATGCTTCAACAAATTCATCTTCCATATCATCATCTTTAGTCATATCATCAACCATATCAGTTACAAATTCAATATCATCAAGATCTCGACTATCCGAAAATGTACTAGCTGCTCCTGACGGTCCATCAAATCGCTCATGACCTGGTAAACTATTTAATGTACCAATCATATCACGCATTTGTGGCCGTGGTATTTGACCTTTTGATAACGGTATACGATTTTCTAATTCATCAAATATACCAAAATCAGCTTCAGGACGAGTTCCATTTGGACGATATGTTGTATTATATGTTGTATTTGAACTTGATGGTAATGAATCGGATGTATCGACATATGATTCATCATTTGTATTATCAAGACTAAAAATTTCTGGATTACTAGTAACATTTGTTGGAATATGAGCACGAGGTATTGTAAATTTTGGACGAGTCTGTGGTAATTTAGCGCTTGGAACTGGTGTCTGTCGTTGTTTGATGATAAAGAATACACACATAACAATAGAAACAATTAATAAAAGACCAGCTACGGCGCTGACAACGGCAATAATAATTGTCCAATTTCTATCCGATGTTTGTACTGGAGCAACACTTGATGTAGCAGTATCTCGACACAAATATCCTTCATACGGCTTAATACATGCACAAGTGGAATTATTTCCAAAACAAGCACCTGTTCCCAAAATGGAACATTCTTCGCAAGGTGGTATAGAACTATTTGCTGTAAAATTCCCTGAAGACAACAATGAGGAATAAAAAAAAAACAATGTTTCTTTTGTTTAATCTTACTCAGTTCATTTGATAATGGATTTAAACTCATTTGTATCAATGTTAAAGTGTAACTGTCATTGAAGATAGATATATCATTGAGTAATTTATTTAAAAAAATTATTCGTTGTGTAACATTCAGTGGAATGTTTAATGTAACCATAAGTTGAAGTTGTTTCGGTAAAACATTCCTAATTATAAATATTATTTTTTTTTCTTTTGAAATAAATGAATCAAACTTACTGTGTATCATATACATTTATACATGATCCATTACATGATATACTCATATTAAATAAGGCGGCAGATATCTATAATCCAATGACATATTTCAATCAAGTAAAAAAAAATCAGTTAAATATTACTCTATTTGTTATCCTAGATGTATCTGGTGGAGTAAGAAGTACAGTACGACTTGTTGAAACAGACACGAAATTCATTATTAACCAAGTTAGGCCTATAATTAATGAATGTATTCAATAAATTAATCATTATTAAAAAATATTCTTTTTTTACCAGTTGCATTAATACATCCACTTCCATCATAATAAGTATATGGATGACCTATACATTGACACGTTTGTAGAGTAGGAATCAAAGCATAATCAACAAGATTATAGTTCGATGATGGACATTCACATCGACCTGTTCTTGAACTACATGTAGCAGGTGGCCAGCATTGATTTGCACAGAATATTGAATAATTTGTTGGTAAACATAAACTTGTTGAATTTCGAGCATTTCCATATTGTTGATTAGAATCCCCTTAAGAAATTATTTTATTTCTTATATTAAACTGTGTATATAAACATACCTCCTAATGAATAATTAAAACTACATCGACATTCATATGAACCTTGAATATTCGTACAATATGTATTCTTGTAGCCTGAACAGTTTTTTTCACTCATATTACATTCATTTATATCAACACATGAACCGTTCATAGACTAAACAATAAATTAAATTGATAAAGAATGTTTTTGAAAATAAAATAAAAATCAATATCTTTCAAACCTCATAACCATTTGAACAATTACACCAATAACTTCCAATAGAATTAACACAACTTGAAACATCTGGAATACAGAGATCTAGTTGGCTTGTACATTCATCGATATCTATGCATAAAAATGAATTTCAGAAAAAAAAAATAACATTTTCAATATTATTTATGTATACCTGTGCAAGTACTCGTCCCATTTTTCTGATAACCAACCTTACAACTACAAGTAGCATTTCCACTTGCGGGATCAGTTAGACAATCTTCTGTAGCATTGCTGCATGGATTATTGCTTGCTAAAAGAAAAGAAAGATTTATTTTGAGTTCTAATAAGTAAAAGATATAGACAAAACATGAATATTAATCATTCATCGAAATTCATTATTAAGATTTTCTTTTCGAATGAAGATGAAAAATATATTAATCAATGACAAGAAAATTATAAGAAGATTTCTTTTTCTTGCAAAATAACGTAGCTGAAGATTGGATCAACATGTCAAATAGGATTTGTTGACTACAGACACTATCTGTACAGTCAGCACTGTTTGTATAAGAAAATTGTTTGATGTTCAAATTTTTGACTTGACACTCAATCATAGATTTCATATTGGTTGAAAAGAAGAAAAAACCTACATATTTGCTTAATTTAATGCTACATCATTCTCTATATATCGTGCATCAGTAAACGAGTACTTTTTTCTTTATCCATAGAGAAGAGAATTTTCTTATATATACTTTTTTTTTCTATTGAACGATAATGATCATTCAATATATATAATCTGTTTTTCTTGTATTTTATATGCTTACCACACATGTCTATACGTTTATTACAAAATGTTCCTTCATATCCACTGTCGCAAATACAACTTCCAATTACATTTGTTGCATTTGGATTACAACTACCATATGTACAATTACACATTTGATTACAATCATAACCATAATTTAAATCATAACATTCTTTAATAAAACAAAAAAGAAAATTAAAGTTTTTTTTAAATAATAGAAAAAAAAAATATCCTATTCATACGTAAACATTGTTTTCCATCATTAGAATGTTGAAAACCAGGATATTTCATACAATTACATTGATAACTATCATTTACCAATTGACAAAAATCAGGACACGTTGAATTACACCATGCTAAAATTATTATCAATTACAAATCATTTTTATCTATTCACTACCTTTTTTTATTGTATTTAAAAATCTACTTACGAACACAACTATTAGATATTGCGATCGAACCACGTAAACATAACAGTGTACCATCACTGCCTCTGCAAGTATCATCACCACAAAGACTTGAATTATCTATTAAAAATAAATATTTATCAATTCAGATTTATCAAAAAAAAAATCAATTTTACATACAAACACAAGTTCCAGTTGTATTAAACATAGGACTACATTCACATGTATAACTACCGTTTGTATTTATACAAACATCAGTGGTGTTACAACGTCTACCAAAAGTACCATCTACATTCGGTTCTCTACATTCATTTATATCTTAAAAAAACGAAAAGAGAAAAAGTATTTTGTTTGTTACAATATTATAAAAAAACTTACCAATACATGTCTGATTGTCAAATCGATAACCGTTGACACAATCACATGAAAATGTTCCAATAAGATTAATGCATATACCATTTCCACATCGAGATGAATTCAATTGACATTCATTAATATCTAAAAATGAAATAATTATTTATATTTCTTCGAATATTATAATTGTTTTTTGTTTTTGTTTACCTTCACATGTGAAACTATTATTTGAACTATATCCACTCAAACATGAACCATTGCAAGTATACGAACGACGTAGGCTCAATTGATCAGCAGCACTCAATGGAGTACATGTTGTTGTTGTATTATCCCAATTAATTTGACATGCACTACCCGATTTGCAACCATTATATGAGTCTTGACAAAAGTCTCCTGAAAAAACAAATGGTACGATAATCGATAGAATTTATATATAATTACTATACCGTCATATTGATCTGGACAATTACATGAAGCAAGTTCGTAATTATCATATATTTTCGTTCTATCGGCATAATTACAATAACTAGTATTTGTACATAAACAACCGATGATATTCAAATATTGTATCAATGTGGAATTTGTGCCATAGCTAACAGTCAAACTAAGAAAGAAAGAGAACAATAGAAAAAACTCAAATTTTATGCTATTCTTCACACATTAATTCATAAAAGGATCATTATTAAGACTTGTTCAGTGTGTCGGGCTAGTGTCACATATTCCGAAATTTCGAGATGAACGCACGTCCGAGAGATGTGATCATCTGCGTAGAGAGATATGGATGCATCTCCAGATTCCGAGATACATAACACTGCTGTTTTAAGCTTAGAACCATTTATTATTATTTGTCTAGAAGGAGATTTTTTTTTCTTTAATTCTTTCTCACATTTGTTTTCTATCACCTATAGATCTGCATTTTTTGATTTCAAGAATACCAAAATTTTACTTAATTGAACTTTAGGTATATCGTTGATTTTTTCTCATAAGCAGTTTGTTTTTTGTAATCGAATATTATTATATACTATTGCTTTTTACTATATTTCAGTTAGAAATCAGTAATGTATCAAAATATAGGATTGTAAATTTTAATCTAAACATTATTTTACATATGCAAATTAAAAAGAAAAACATATATATTCATGAGACTTTATAGAGTAGTCTCATATTCAACGTTCAAAATTACTTACAAAACTTGAACATAACTAGTGGTATTATTCGGAACTGGAATCGTAATAGACACATTATTAAAAGTACTAGTGGTCATAGTACCATTTTGAGAAATAGTTACAAGTGTACTTTTTCCACCAGTAACAGTAATTGGTAATATATAAAAACGGTTAGTATTATGATATGGTAATGGTATTTGAACAGGTGATGATACATCGATAGTTGGTACTATTTCAGCTATGTAAATTAAAGAAAATGATATTAAACAAAGAATTCTTTTTCAAACTTTATATGTTTACCTAATATAGTTCGTGATTGTTGAAATAAATTTAATGTTGAAGCTGTTGCACCACTAGTTATTGGATTAATTCGAATAATATAATCATGACGACATTCAAAATTTTCTGAACATATTTCATCAATCAGAGATTGATTAAGAAGTGGATTTAAACTTGCAAGAGTATCTGCAATAGCATTATAATACATATAAACTAAGTTCGATGGCATAATTGGATTTATCATATTAGGCGTTGTATCATTAGGTACTTTCCCTGAAAGAAAGAAGAAAAAAAAGATTCTAAAATAAAATATTTTTTTATTTCTTCTATAAATTTACATGAAAGACAAGCTCTAAGAACGTCTGTATCATTATTAATAGACTTTCCACTATTCGCAGGTGTTATAACAATTGTTTGAGTTGTTCCACGATTAATTAAATCATCATTATAATCTCCATTAAAATTACCAATTAAACCTTCAATACGTGTTTGATATTTTTTCGGTAATGATAAAGTACAATCAAGATTTTCACTAACAATTTGACATTGCATTGAAAGACCTAAATTATAGATATTAGTTTTTGTTTTTTTTTTTTTGAAAAATAAAAACTTAAATAACATACCAGACCAAAGAGCAAATGTTAATTGAGGTACTGTTATATTTTTTAAAGATATAACTGTTTGTTGTACTCGATAAATATATCGATCATTATAATTTATCATATCTCCATTATCATAATTTAAATTACTTGCTAAATTAACCGTAAGTGATAAAATAGATGAACCATTATTTGCAACAAAACCTGAAAAGAAAAACAATATTGATATGTTTTATTGTTTTTTTTTTAAATATGTTTATCAGATAATTATCCTACCAAATTTTCCATCATTATTACTAATATTAAAAGAATAATTTTCAGTAACAATTGAATAACTAGAAAATATCGAGGCATCGCCTTGTGTTCGTTCAATATAAGATAAAGCTGGTGGTATAGATACAGAACGAACATATATTTGAAATAAATCATCAGGATAGATAGCATTAGTATCAAAATTAGTACTGTAGTTTTGATTAAATTGAGCTAGTGCACGGGCACTATCAGTTGTCTGAGCAAATACATAAATTCCTTGAATATGACATGTATATCGCCCATTATCAATTGTATTGATATGGGGATCACCGATACCGGTGACTAGAAAATTTTAATAATTTAAAGTAAGAATGAATAGAATTATGTTTTTTACCCATAGTAGGTGGTTGATAACCTGTACAAGTACTTGGTGGATGAAGTTGATAATAAAGACGACATATATTCCAATTTGCAGTTCTTCCAGTGTCTGTTGGTGAACAACATTGATCGCTAAAAAGAAAGGTGAATGATAAGATTTATTCGAATTAACGATGAAATTCCTCCAAATGATAAATCATTTTTGGCTCGAGACCATATGAATTATGTAGATTCAAATAATTTTATGAATAAAACAAGTTTTCGAATTTTAACTTGAAATATTGCATAGAGACAAGCCTTAATCAATGTTTCAAGCCTGTTGATTTGTTCATATTCTGAAATACGAGTATCAGACCTATCGATTTAAATGAGTTATGTAAAATACACCTTATTCCTATCGTTGTAATAATTTAGAATAAAAATAGGGACAAAACCTGATATAGTCATGTTAAGATCTGTCTCTATGAAAAGGTTCAAGTTAAAATTTGTAAATCCGTTTTTCTGGTGCTCCGGAGAGAAGATCACGGTATTCATTCAAAAAGAAATTTATTAGCGTAATTCGTGCGGAGCCAAAAACTTGAAACACGATGTAGCTGTTGCTAATTACAAGAATATCGTTTTATACTATCTATTTCGGGACACATTTTTTCACCATGGTTTTACTTAATCGTTCAGAAATACGATAAGAAAATAGTTTATATATTATAACGAGACGTTATTTATATACGACCTGTGATGCATGGAAGAGGAAGGTTTACTAAGACGTATGCAATAAGTTAATGGCACAAATTCTTTTCAGAATATTCATAGTTTATTTGGGTCTACACGATGTATACATAATCTCGATTTAACAACGATTTATTCTTTGAATGACTTCTCTCATAAGATCAGTCGAGCTTACCGAAAGGCAATTCGTCTTAACCAAGAATATTGTTGAAAAAGTATAAATGGATTTGAAAGTACTGAACCAGCAAGGTCACCATATGTAATTAAACCTCCATTATTTTCGCTATAACAACATGTCTAAAAGTAAATATATGTTAGCATTATTTACTCAATTTCGAAAGAAACAACAAGTCTGCAGTTTCTTGAAAATATTTAAAATCTTTATTTACTTGTGCTCGAAGTACTTTAAAATTAAATCCAATAGGGATCCAAACAGTTATTAGTGGGCCAAAGCAAACAACCCTTTTTGATCTTTCATAAGCAGTTTCACTATTTAAACGACCAAAACGACGATCTGCTAATGCTTGACCGAGTGAACATGGACACGGAAATCGTGGATTATTTCTAGAATGAATTCAAATTGAATTGAATAAAAAAAAGATACTTATAAAATACATACAAAACATCATTTAAATTATTCAAAGGATACATATTAATATCACTTGTTTCTCGTAAAGAGCTTACTTCACATTGAGTTAAAAAGCGTCCTCCAACGTAAAAATTTCTTCGTGAACCTTGAGCTAAAATTGATAATATATTTCTTTTTGTAAATATTTATTTGATTAATTAGAATAAATACTTAGAAATAATGCATTTCGATAAAAAAATGGATCGTTAAAAGTTTGAACCATAGAATATTTTCCGCGGTAACCTATATCATTTTTTCATTTAAATTAATCTATAAAATAAGATAATTTACATACCGACAAAAGGTTTAAGATAAGTTAGATTTCTTGTTAGATTAGTGTAGTCATATAAAAAATATGATCGAAGAATTGGATAACTAGAAGAACCCACATCATATGTATTTATCAGATATGCGGAGAACGACAAGCTCTAAAAACAAAAGACACCAAAAAAGAAGCTAACAAGAAATATTCAATAATGAAATTTACTATAGAATCATTATTGCCAGATGGAGTGTAATAAAGATTGTTCCAACTAATTCGAACAGCTCGAAGTGCGGTAAAACTCGACAAACAACTTTGTTCTGGACATGCTTCAGTTACCACTTGTTGAATAATGTCATAGTAAGTATTCGCATCAGTTTGATTAGTACTCGTTGAACTATACCAGTTAATTGTGATACTGGAACTACTCTAAAAAAAGGTATTTGTACTGATTATTAAAGATAGGTATAATGATATAATAGGACTTACATTATCGTACTCAAGATCGGCCCAAAATGGAGCTGCAATTGCCTGATTATAAAGTTGATTGAATAAAAAACGTGTCATTGTTTGACTGTAAAAAGGTGAGCCGAAACTGATGTAACCCTTATTTGTAATCTATAAATGATTAACAATGATTTATTTTATGACAATAGTTTTCGCTCGTACCCAAATACGATCATAGGTTTGTTCAAAAAAGTACATTCCATCCGGTAATACGTAAGAATAGATTTGCAAGGTTGGATCACGAAAATTCGACGTTAGGATGACAGTAGTATCTAGATCAAATTAGAAAAAAATGCAATACTGAATTTTGATTCATTTAGATGAATGAAAATACCCACTTTCGCAAGGTGGAGAGCCAGGACAGGATTGATTTTGCGTCGTATTGCCACTACCACATGCAGAGATGCTACAATTCCGATTGTTTATCGAATCTGTACATGATCGATTCACCAATCGATAGGCATCTCCACATGCAGGTGAGCAGGGACTGATTGCATTCCAGTCAGTCCATTGACAAGCTGTAAAGAAATTTGTCATCAAATTATATATTCAAAATCAAATCTGTAAAGTTACTTTGTGGTGATGCGGTTGTAGTAGTGGAAATAGTTGTTGCCGTTGACATGCTAGTAATAGTTGTCGATTGTGTTGTATTAATTGGAACTGTTGTTAATATAGTAGTGGGTGAACTTGCATTGGTTATTGAACTAGTTATTTCTGTAGTCACAATCAGAGTCGAATTTTCGACTGTCACTGTTACTGTTGTAGGTCTAGAAGTGATTGAGGTTGATACATTTGTTGCCACTGTTGTTGCATTGGTAAGCGCAGTTGTTTCTGCTGTTGTGACGTTTGTCGCTGCGCTGCTTGCACTTGTTGTTCCTTCACTGACAGTTGACGTTGAAACTACCACTGCCACTGTTACTGTTGTTGTTACGGTCAAGGGTGTAGATGTTGAAACTGTCGTTCCTGTGCCTGCTGTTGGTGCTGTTGTCACTTCAACAGTTCCTGTTTGAGCAGAGCTGAGAGTTGTAGTTGAACTACTTGAAATAGTAGTTGTTGTACTTTGACCTGTTTGTGTTTGTACTGTTGATACAGTTGTTGGTGCAGATGTTGAAATAGTTGTACCTGTGCCTACTGTTGGTGCTGTTGTCACTTCAACAGTTCCTGTTGGAGAAGAGCTGAGAGTTGTAGTTGAACTGCTTGAAATAGTAGTTGTTGTACTTTGANAATTCATTAAATAATATGCTGATTACCTGAACTATTAAGGGAGAACCCATAATTATCAGTAATTATAGATAACTTTAACCGCACAGGTATCCTAAATACAAATATTCATACAATTTTTACTGCTAAATAACTAAAACAACCATGTTTTTTAAAGATATTCAGTGCGTAAAATCCCAGGACGCATATGTGCGTCGCCCGGACCCAAAGAATTAGTTCTAGTTCGAATCTAAGGAATTAACTGAAAACATACTCTGATTAAACAGTTCAGTTCTTCAAACTGAGCTGTTCGAACAATTTTTTATTCTCTTTTGTTTTTTTTTGAGAAAAATATTTCCGAATTTAAGAAACTGTTGTTCTATTTTTGAGAATGACACTTCCGGTCATGCAACACTTTTGTTTGTTAGGTTACCGACTTGCCGTTCTCAAAACAGAACAAAATTTTTCGAACAGCTCAGTTACTATTAGAGAAAACTGTTTGAATAGATCTTATAATAGGAAATGATCGATTTCTAGTACAAAATGTACCAAGAAAAAAAAATCGTTTCGTCTTCAAAAAAAAAAAAAACAGCCTGTCGTGAATTTCTTCATATTACAAATCGCCATGTTATAACTATATGTATATCCACAGAAAGTTAAGAATTCATGTACAATCATTTACTCTTGTGTATTATCGACGATTTGTTGTATTAGTTTATTCTAGTTTTAAGAGAGAAGTTTTACTGTTAACGGAAGAAACATTAATGTTTATGAAAATGAGATGATACTCAGAGTAGTTGGATAAATTTATATAGTCAGTTCTCATTTTATCTAAGAACGATAAAGATATATTTTCATTACGTATTTTAGTATTAGTGGAGTTAGAAATTTGAAAATTTTAATGAAATGAACTCTCTAACAAAAAATAATTTTTCTTATTTGGTTACAAAGTTACTCATACAAATATATACTACATCAATTATTTTCTCTTGAGAATATTTATTAAAGTTTACTACTTGCGAATAAAATAATTAACAAGCATAAATTGATTATATCTCATGTTGATAACCGTCAATTTCGTTCCTTTACATTTCGTCGAAAATTATGACTATTCATTTTCATTGTAGCAATATGAAGTATAATTTATTTAACTAATTTTAAGGACTTATTTACCAGTTCATATCGATTCGAATAAAATATTCCTCGATATAATTGGCATTGCAAGACAGTGCAATTCTTTTTCAGTCGTGCATAAAGACTAGTATAAACTTTTTTCTTTTTATTTGGTTGTTCACTTACACGAAGTCGTTCAATATTCATTTCGAATCTAGATTGTTCATGTAAGATATATTTAGTAAGTTTATTAATAGACAGATGTTTAATTGATATACGGTTGTTGAATACATAACGTCATCACTCTTTGACATAGCTCGATTGCGGCAAGTCTTATATAACTCGTTCGTAGAGATTTCACAATGTAACATATGCTTGTCTTCTTCTCTTATCCGATATTGAGTATGGAAATGTCTCAAAAAATATATCATTGAATTTTCTCAAGAAGTCTTTAGCACTTCAATGATATCCATTTCTTTAGACCATTGTACAAAATTATTCAAGATGATAACAATTATAAATGCACTTGATCATATAGGAAAAAAGGAAAATCATTTTCAGTAAATATGTAGAAATTCACAAAATCTAGTTTTGAATCACTATGAAGCTAGATCTTTGCAAAGTTATAAAATGAAATATGAATGGATCGAAATAAAATTTATACGAGCTGTAAGAGAACGAAAAATAGGGATACCCTCATGTTTGAGGTGTGTTTTGAGATATCTAATATTTGAAAGTGACTGTTCAACGTGTATTTCGACAATCATACGGTTTTCAAGTATAATCTATGTTTTGTGTGGAACTTTTTTTTTTTTTTTTATCTCAAATCTCTCACTAAATGTATTTTTCATGAACGTATCTTCATTTGCTTTGATATAGCCTATTTTTTTATATAGTTATTAAGACAAAAAATAGGATGAATGTAATATTTAAATAATCACAGAGGTAGGTAGTGAAGTAAGATTCATAATTTACTTCTTTGTTACAAAGTGTTATGCACAATATTTCAATCATGCACTCTTAATTAACTGAAAGGTTTTACTGTTCACCCTTGTGAGTAATTTAATCCGCTATAAGAAAAGATCAATGTCACAAAGATGGATGAAAGTATTGAAAATGTGAGCCTTATTTGCAATGTTCTAAATATCTAATACCATTACATGTTGTGAAACGTGACTATACATTCAGATACACAAAATAGAATTCTAAATTTTCATGGATATACATGAGATTATGTTAATACATGAAAGAAAGATATAATATAATTAGTCTTCTTTTTTTTCGAAAGCACAGATTTTACTTTTATGCATGCATCTCTGTACAATAAAAAAAAAATTGTTCTCATCTTTGAATACGAAAACAACTTTTCTTCTATTCGTTTTTGATATAGTGGAATCAAACTAAGTGAATTGTCTGTAAAAGTATTGTATTATTATACTTTGCTATTACTCGCATACTGTTTTATCTTCTTTCTTTTTTAAAATTATTTTATTAGTTTCTTAGGCAAACTCACATAAAAATTTATGGTCTTCGATAAGCCACTTCTGAGTATCAAAACACAATTAAGAAAAAGAATAGTTTTCAAAAAATCTATGAAAAGATATTGAAAGAATGATGTGGGTTTTTATTTGAAAAATCGTTTCTATCTAAAGATTAAAAAAACACATTTATTTTTATTCGTTTAAAACGAGATTGATATTACCCCCCGAGACTGCCTTGTTTTATCATGAAGAACACGTTTGCTCGAAACGAATGATATAAGATGTCTTATTGACATATATAATCAAATTAATTGAAAAACAAAATGCTATATTTCAACTAATACAATTGATCCCTGTAGAGATCATAATAGATATGAGCAAGATGGTCCCAGGACTGAGAGTAGCATCTAGATCAACATTTTTTTTTATTGGTAGTAGAATCTTTTATGATTGTGAAAGGTTTGCGTCAAATGTCATATGCTAACGACTGATGTGTTCTACAAGTTTATGCATAAATTATTGAGTAACGATCACTTTCATATTTGCTATTACAATTTTCATAGCAAAATAAGTCTTTTTTTGTCCCAAACAACAAAGTTGTCGAGTACATAAACGGGCAGAATAGACGAAGCATTAGTGAATTAAACAGAGTCATGAATCTGCAAGAAGGAGGATATTGAAAGTTATGCAGGTGGTGCAAAATGCGTTGAGCGAATTGACACTGCTAGAAAATGAGATCGCATTTTTCGCTACTCACATGATAGCTATAGGGAAACTACTGACGGTTATTTATTTTTTGAATGTGTTGTATCATTATGTATTGTATCAAAATGGATGAATCTTTTTTTGAAGTCTGTTAAAACAGACAAAGTTGAGTCGATTTCGATGCACTCTGATAATGCTGATACATCTGAACTAGTCCCAAAGCTCAAATCGACCTTGGCTATGAGATAAATTTTTATTACAGATGGCTTTGCAAAAGAATTTATCAGCAAAATATATTTCGACATTATATTCTTTCAAATTAATTTGAATTCTTTATAATAAATAATTCGAATTCAGGTAGAAAATACTCTCTGTAACTGTTGATAGCTACAACCGAAGGTCGCAAGCGCTACCTACAGTATTGGGATCAAATATGTGGCATGGATATTACATGTATGACTAAGTGCGAAACCAGAAACATATTTTTTTTTTCTGGTCGAAACCAATAATGATTGATCTCGCTCATTACTAAATCATATATGTATATTTTATGAAAGCTTGAGAATCCTAATAATAAATAGTATTATCTTAAGGGCTGATTTCTCGTTACCTCGCAGAGATGTTAAAAAAAAATAGTTGTGCTTACAAGTTCAAAATAAGTTGAGTGTTAAAATGATTTCTTTGCATATTTGTTGATATTTTGATTAGAGTACTATTACATTCTTCATTAGGCAGTATATATTGAAAAGGTACGACTAGGATAGAACACAATCCTTTGTTTTCTTTTCAAAATTATATATGATCATGTATAATAACACCCGCATATTATCAAAGTGAAGAGAGAAAGAAGAAAAGAATAAATAGAAGCAGTACGAAAGAAATAAATGTTAGATGAACAAAACATTAATTATATAGATGTTAAATCACAACAAGGAGAATAAATTTTTCTTTCGGTTGATTTGGTTACGTTAGACATGAAATTGATTATATAACTCGCTCTCATACACTTCATATGACCCTGAAATATCTTACAGCGATTCTTTCATAACTTTGAATAAGATCAAAAGCTTTCCTCTTCAGTTAAAAGAAACATACTAATCATCTGTTATATGATGAAAGGGATATTTAAGGATAATAGAACCTGTTCACATTCTTGTTCAAAGCATAGAATATAATAATTGAAAAAAAAACAAATCATCAATGGAAGGTACGACTGTATGGCATATACAATTTACCATAAAAATTGAATTGAAAATGTTACAAGCCAGCAAAGACTATAAAATAAAAATTCATCCCATATCAGTAAGCTACGCACAATAAAAATTTCACAAAAATCAGAAGAATTTTTACAAAAATCCTTGGCTCTCAAGGTAAATGTTAGCAAAAAACTAATTCAGAATAGAAGGCCATGGCCTTTTATTCTGGAGGAGGAGAAGAGATGCAAGAAACGATCTATTAATTACAAACAGACACATGCTAATATTCGTTATGTAACTATACTGCGTCTGATTTCAGACAAGTATTTTCCTGGATGGATGTCTTGAAGAAGCTATCAGATAGAATACTTGGTAAACAACGACTGCTTGTCGGAAATATCTATTAATTGATATTGAAATCATTTTTTTCTTCGGATATATAGTCATTGAAATAATATAAGATTTGAAAGTTATTTCCTCCAATATCTTGTACTAATAATGATAATTAAAAACCAGAATTTGTTCTTTTCAAGAATACGTTTTTAATTAGATGTTACGTGATATTGAATTCGCTTCTCAAGATCGTATAAATAACTCAATAAAGACATTTATTGAACAGAAAATTCCTTATACTACTTTGGCTATTGAACCCATACGGATAACACGCACAATATTTCGTGATCGAATACCATCAATAACTATTAAAACATCACAATATTTATTTACTCGATTACAACAAAATCGTTGGTTAAATTCATATAGTATCTTAATGTACAATCCACGACGTAAATTTTCTTGGAAAAAATTTTTATTTCCTGAATCAATAAACGATGCTAGAGATGAAGCAACATTTAAAAATATAGATCAAAATAAAAATCAAATTTCTGAATTTCTAAATACACTTTATGGTGAACATGAAATAAGCTATGAACGTTCATTTGAAGCATTAAAATGGCTTAAAGAAGTTTACCATTCATCTACACTTTCAACAGATTCAAATAATTGATACGTTTTTTTCTTTCTTATGTTATTAGTAAAAATCTTATATTGTAAAGGTTTTTTTTCTGTGATATGACATTTTTTTTTGGTTGTTGATATTGTTTTTATTTGCTCAATTAGACCAATCGAATCTCTTTTGTTAGAGAACGAAAAAAACAATAAACTGCAATAATTCGCATTCTCCCACATTTTATTTTTGTGTTTTTTTTCTATGGCAAATAATAAAATCAAACTTGTTGGTGCTATTGACCAAGGAACATCATCGTCTAGATTTCTCGTAGGTTTCACTTGTCAGAAAATAATATTTACATGATAGATTTGTTGTTGAAAAGATTTTTAATGCAGAAAATCTTGACTTGATTACATACTATCAAGAAACAATACAAATAATCACACCACATCCTGGCTGGGTTGAACAAGATGCCTATGAAATTCTCAATAAAACAATTTTGTGTATAGAAAAAGCAATTGAACAATTACAGCAATTAGGATATAAAAAATCGGATATAAAAGGTAAGATGCGGATAATACAAAATTTGAGTAGAAACGGTTTTGATTTCATTTATACATTGTTGGATAGAATATGACATACTGATTGCGAATATGTGAATTTGAGATTTCTCTATCATCTTTTAAGAGAGAAAAATTGTTCACTTGAAAAAAATTCTAATTTTTTAATACTTCTATTGCCGAAATTTTTCAAAGTATAACCTTTTCTTATTCATCATCTAAAACTGAGTATAACGGTTATTATTTCGTCAACGTTAGAGTCAAAAGTCTGCCGGGTTTGGCTGTGTTGAACCCCTTCTACTAAGGTTCAATAGTACCCAACTTTGTACATCTATCTATTTAGATTTTTATACAAAAGGATACAGCCAAATATTTTACTTCATTAGAATCTGTCGACGGCAATCTTTAACAGTACTCATTTATTTTTTTAAAAGCCTGGTATTATCATTGAAATAATGGAAAATTTTGGTCCAAAAAACGAAATCCTGCAAAAATTCATTCTAGATTCAGCTATTTTGATCATGAAATTGTTAGAAAAGAATAAAATGAATGTCATGTTCGGTATCAGGTTAAAAAACTATATTGAGCCACATGTATTTCATCGAAAAAAATTTCCTATCAGAAACTTACTCGTACTGGTTTTCAGGTTACTTTTACGAAAGTTTTTGTTTGTAATTCATCGGGGATGAATTTCTGGCAGTGTTCGACATGAATGAAATTTTTGTAACCCAATCCGACCCGAGTCGACCTTTGGTATCGACCACTTTTCTGTTTCTCTTGAGAAAATCACTTTTTCGACTCCTAGTTCTTCCTTTCATTTCGTCGTTGAAAACTAATTATATGTCATTGATATTCTGCACTCGGGACGAGACTATAATGTGACCTTTATATTATTATTAAACAGACAATGCACTAGCTATACATTGTTGTTCGATGTCAATAAAGAAAAGAACGTGTGATACATAACTACTTGTTCTAATAAGTTTTTTCACACTCTCCTATAGAACTTGTAAATGAGAAAAAAAATATTCAAATGCCTTTTGTATCTGCAAAATGTTCAGATTTGTAAATAAGCGATTTTTAAACGGTTCGAACATTTTCAAATTTTCTCTCTTAAAATGCGATAGGAAAATCTAAAATTCACCTACTCGTGATAAGCACGTCCGACTCTATCCAAAGATTTATATATGCACCCAAAATTGTTTTCACTCAAATTTTGCATCGTCCATACCTTAAAACAAATAATAAACTTCGAAAATTTTCAATTTTTTGTTTTATCTTAGTAATTGGTGTAACAAATCAACGTGAAACAACAATTTTATGGGATAAATATACTGGCAAAGTATTATATAATGCTCTTGTATGGCTAGATGCACGTACAGAAGAAACAGTTGATTTTCTTTTAAAACAATATAGTAAAGATAAAAATTGTCTTCAAGTTAGTTGAATAATTGTTATTATAATAAAATGTTTTTTTTTTCTATTGATAAAAATTTTCAAGAAACAATGTGGTTTACCAATATCAACGTATTTTTCTGCATTGAAAATCCGGTGGTTAATAGATAATAATGAAGATGTTCGAAATGCAATAAAACAAAAACGATGTCTCTTTGGAACAGTTGACAGTTGGTTACTTTATGTAATAAAATAGTTGTAAATAATTATTAGAATATATTCTATTCTTCTTTGATTTATGTAGAATTTTCTTTCTGATGGCAAAAATATAATACATGTAACGGATGTGACAAATGCTAGTCGTAAGAGCAGTTCTATTTGTATTGTAAAAGGAAAAGTAAAATGTTTTTTTGTCGAGAAAAATTATTCTTTATTAGCTTATGGCTTGAACAAAAAATGTCGAATGCATCAAAATTCTTTTTTCTGTTTGTTTTATAAGTCGAAAAGAGTTTTTTGTTTCATAGGAACAATGTTGATGAACATTCGAAGTTTACAATGGGATGCCGATCTTTGCCAGTAAGAAAAATTTATTAATCATTCAAAGTCTTTGTCTTTTTCTTTCTAGATTCTTTAGTATTCCGGAACATATATTACCAGAAATTAAGCCATCAGCAACAATATTCGGTTATATTAATAAAGGCATACTCAAAGGAATACCTATTGGCGCCGTAAGAAGAAAAAAATTTACATGTTCATTTATTTTTATTCTTTCATTTCTAGGTTCTTGGTGATCAACAAGCAGCTCTAGTTGGTCAACAATGTTGGACAAAGGGAGAAGCAAAGAGCACGTCTGTTTACATTCTTGTTTTGTTTTTCGAATTCTATTCATATGAAATATTTGTCTTTTAGATATGGTATAAGATAATAATAAAACACATTGTAATTCAATATCTATTTGTAGGAACTGGTTGTTTTATATTATATAATACCGGTGAAGATTTATCTTATTCAAGAAATGGCCTTTTAACAACTGTAGCATATAAATGGAATGATGATAATGCTGTTTATGCTCTTGAAGTACGTATAGAATGATGTGCAGTAGTGAACAAAAGTCTCCGTCCCAGCCGGTTTCGGCCATTGTATGTGCTGGTGGTCTAAAACTTTGTGTACTCGTACTGCGCCAAAAATAAAGTGATTAACATTGCGGCACCGTTATTGCCTAATTACAAAGGAGGTCACAATGGATGGCATCAATTTTTGTTATTAGCCTTGTAACCTTAAAAAGAAAAGAGTATTCTGTGTCAGCTGACTCCTCAATATGTAATGCAATGAACCATCTACTGACATTTGAAGGTCAATAACTCAGCAATAGTTCAATACAAGAACTTCAAACATTTTGAGAAGCTTCCTCTGCAGTTAGACATCATTACTTACAAGTTTCAGGAGCGAGTCTTGTGCGAAAGAAAAATGAAACATATATGATAATCTTGTTAGTTTCAAGGACTCGCAAAAATTAATATTCGAGCAAATGAAGTTATATTTCGAGTGCAGAAAGACTGTAGACAAGACTTCAGCTGCATGTATAAATATCAAGAATTAATTGTATTCTTAGTAAGAAACAGTGCAATATGTTTTTAGGCAATCTTTTTTAGATTGTAATGCTCAGAGCAAAAAAATAGATACCGCCCATTATAACTCTTTATGCAGTTAAATTATAACGGCACTGAAGTGCCAATGACTTACATTATCAGGGAAGTACATGCTTACAAATTTTCAGATTTTCAATACATACAGTGGCCAAAATCGGCTGCGACGGAGACTTTTGCCCACTACTGTATTTATGCCTTTTTTGTTTTTAATATCATAATTCTTTTGAAAAGGGTTCAATTGCTATTGCTGGTGAATGTATAAAATGGTTACGTGACAATCTTGAATTAATTCCAGATTCAAAAAGCAGTGGTTTGTTTCAAACACAGATAAATAAGAGAGAAAGTTAATTATTGTTTAAATATTTAGAAACAATTGCAGCTTCTGTTGAAGATACTAGTGGTGTTTATTTTGTTCCAGCATTTTCTGGTCTATTTGCTCCTTATTGGCGTTCAGATGCTCGAGGTAAATGATAAACACAACAACAACAAAAAACCCAAGATTCGAACAAAAACAAAAATATTTGTTTCAGGTCTTATTATGGGTATTACTCAATATACAACAAAAGCACATATTGTTCGTGCTGCTCTTGAAGGTATTGGTTATCAAACACGTGAAGTAAAGTTTTTTATTTATCTTTTTTTCTTATTGCATCAATAAAAATCATTCAAAAATAGATTGTTGATGCTATGTATGATGATAGTGGTGTACGTCTTTCAAAACTAAAAGTTGATGGTGGTATGGCAAATAATAAATTATTTCTTCAAATGCTTGCAAATATTGTTGGTATTAATGTAACTATACCTAATCTATTTGAAACAACAGCATTAGGTGTTGCACTTGCTGCTGGCAAAGCAAAAGGTATTGATTTATTTAAATTAGAACAAGATAGTGAAATCGAAACAAAAGCTTATACATATAGCCCACAAATACAAGGCAAAAGTAAATTATAATTTTTTTCTTCTCTGATAATTACTTATCGTAATATCTCTTTTGTTTTTTAAGAACGTGAAGAAAATTTTCTTGCTTGGAAAAAAGCTGTTATGAAAAGTTTTGAATGTACAACGATATCAGAAAGTAAAAAATAATTATTTTAATTGTGTCTAATAATTGATTTATCTTAAAGATACCGAACATAAATATCATCTATCATCAACAACTATTCGATGGATAACTTTAACTAGCTTTTGTGGTATTCTATTATATATGATCATTCATCATCATTAATCATTTCAAAAAACATTTATATATTTTATAATCTTCATTTATTATTTTATTTTATTTAACAAAACTTAATATATTAAACAAGATATAGATGTTAGACAAAAAGAAAAGATTTGAATTACACGAAACAAGAATTATTTGGTGATACTATAAATAATTCTTTGTATAGTTTTTTAGCTAGTCCTGCTTTCAATTAGAAATTAGTGATAGAAATCTATTCCATTCTTAAAGATAATTTTAAAAATAGGAAATTCAAATGAATGCATATCAATACGTAAAATGTATTAGTCGATGGATTTTCATGAAAATATTTCTATGCGATTATCGGTACATTAATTCTTTTATAAGGATCTCATGATAAATACTTTAAAAAATATAATTTCATCAAGTTTTTCTTTTTTTTGGCCTTGTCAATGTTCAATCAAGCCACTTTTTCTACTGTTGATGACAGCACACACAAGAATTTGTTTTCTGGCTATGCTTTTGTTATTACTCCTACTTTATGATTGTCACGTTAGATGAAGAGAAATATCGACGACATTATTGTCAATCAAGAGGAAAAGCAAAAGGAGCATGAGTAACAATAGAATATTAGTTATATTCTTTAGATCATCGATCGGCGATGAAATCGACCTTATATTGTTCATCAGAAAAAAAAACAACCATCTCTTTCTGTCTATGCATAGTGATCATATTCCAATTTCTCTCTATCTCTCGTTTCTATGTTTCATATGACTTTTGAGACATTTTCTGTGAGTTACTTCATCGAGCAAATTGTATTTTATAGACAAAGATTTAAACAAAAGGAGTACATGTACGTGTACATCTTTTGTCGAATTCTTCTAAGCACTATTGACAAGAATGAGGTGCATTTTATTATTTGAGTAGAAATGTGTATTTCATTTTTCTTATTATTTTCTATCAGGTATTTGAAGTCAATTGCACAAGAAAACAAGTTTCTTTCATATCATATTTATTAGTGTAAAATTTTAAGCGAAGTTTAGGTGCGATAAAAAAATTTGATTAGCTTTTTGTTTCAACATTAAAAACAAATTACAAAAAAAAAACTTTAAGTAATAGAGTACAGGAAGGTTGGAGTTCTCTTTTATATTAGATTATAAATAAGACAGTATTTTCTTAAATATTGCTTAGAATTAAATGATTTTCAATCATGACAAAAAAGCTAACATATGTTCATAAAAAGGAAATCGATTGAGAGTATGTTACGAAACAATCAAGTACTAGGATAAGTCTTTAAAGATTGTTCTATTATGATCAATATCTATGTGTTAATTCGTTTCATAGTCATCGTGAATTGTTTTTATTTTATTTTATTTTTTTTTTTATAATTTTTGTTTTTAGATTATCAAATATCATCATTGAATAACAAAGAAATGCTTAGTGGAATTTTTAGAGTAACATTATTCTTCAATATTTTCTTCTTGTTCATGACTCTTCTTTGGCAATCATCAACCGCCGACACTTCACCGGTAAGCATTTGTATGATGAAGTATTGCCGGAAATTAAGCCATATCAAACTATCACTTCTACTATTATTATTCTATATGAAAAAAAAATGACGATCAAATAATTGAGTATTTAAGAATAGATGCTTTTATTATTGCAAATTTAAGAAATGTAGTTTAAAAAAAACTAGATATTATATATCATTTTAATAGATATCAAATTAATATTTAATATTTATTTATATTTCAATAGACCAATAGAGTATAAAAAATTTTACTCTTCGACCTTAGAGTTAATGTTTTTCTTAGCATTTTATTTTTCAGGTGATAAAATAATAGTCATGAATGGTTTGCTTTCTTTTATATTCTTTGTGGGTATTTTCACTTCTATGCTTTACAGAAGTTAAGTAGTAAGTTGAATGCTGTAAATTTGAACAATAAGACCAAAAATAGACTTTCAGCATATGCTTAGTTATTTTTGACTACAATAGAAAATAGTAACAAAGAAAAACAAGATGTAAATTTTAGCTTTTTGTCTTATAATGAGAAGAAAATCTGAAAGTATCGAATTTGAAACTAAATTGAATAAATCTATTATTAATTGATAAGTTCAATTTGACAAGAAAATTATGAATTATCAATGAGTTTACAGATAAATACACACGATAATGAAATAAATAGAATGATATAAAAAGAAATCAATCTTCGAATCATTTTTACTTGAATCGCATCTTCTCATTCTCACTAATTGCTGTGTTTTTTACACGCACAGCACTGCCTGAGGGTGACAAGGCGGTGATTGAAGTGAAAATGTTCTCGATATCTGTTTTAGTGATTAGAACAACTGTAATCATAGAAAAAATTATTACTGTTTTTTTTAGACTTTAATTTGTTTGACAAGATGATTAAATGTCTAATACATTCTGAATTATTCATCGTTTTCTTTGAATGCATTCAGACACTTAATAAATATCCGAACGACTCGTAATAAAATATTAAACAAAAGTGTACTGATTACAGTAACTTTTTTCGATAAATGATTATAATATTTATATATGCGATTCTCTACAGAATTAACTCTTGTTTAGTTCTAAAATTTAATGAATACAAAGAAAATTATAATGTGGCGAGGCTATATTTCATTCATATTGATTATTCATAATGAAGCACGTCTGTTTTGAACTCTTTTTGTTTTTTACTAGACATTGGCAATCAATAAAATTTTGGCTAAATCCAAAAATGATGTATTCCATTTGTTAGCCAATAATAACCATAGGAATATGCATACAATTAAACGTTCATTGCAATCAACAGTTGATGAGCAACTACCGATCGATACTTCACACTTTCGTTCTCATCCACGTGATCGCCGTTTAGGCAGAAAATTGCATTCTAATAAACTAAAAACCCCACAAAATGTTCTTCTATCAGCAGGCACATATAATAAAAGATTTCGAGTTTCTCACCGAATTCGACCTGAAATTGATGATCGTCTCAAACGTTTTCGCATGCTTGATCCAGATGAATTTAAAGAAATGCTTAACATAATGAGTCAACAAATACAACAAGAACAACCTAAAGGATTTAATAATATGGATGCAATCGATGGTATGCAAGTTGAAGGTAAGTTTATTTATAATTGTTTATCAAATATTAACTTTGTTTATTCTTAAGATTATTGGACGCACAAATAAATATCAACAATATGATTTGATACAAGCTTTATTTTTCTTCTTTTTCTCTCTTTTTTTTTAAAAATTTCTGTTGATGTCTATCAATATTTATATGAATGAATGTTTATTTGTTGTATGACTTAAACATGGTTTTAGATGGTTAATGCCGATTGTGTTTTATTTTTTTGTTTGTTCTATTCTTAATAACAGAAAGAAAAGAGAGAGAGAGAGAGAAAAAAAAACTGCGCGCCCTAACTTTGTGCCAACATATTTGCTGTCGTAAATAGAATGTTCCCAATAAATAAAAATGACTTTTTTTTTTGTCAGCAATAAAATGAATAACAATCTCAATTTTGTCATAGAGCCTAAGGACTTAAAAATAATTAAAAAAAACAAGCTTGCAATTAAAACGATGAAACGGACATAAAAACTTGATGTTTTTCAAATTCATTGATTAAAATGAGTATTTTAATCAATGAAATTGAAATACATCAGTTATTATGTCCTTTTCATTATCCAAAATGTCATTTATGTGTGTTCTTGAATAAAGGACGGGGGGCGATTTCTACAGAAATCGGCCCAATTGAATTTTAATGATCTGCTCGGGTAGAAACAAAGGAAATGATGGTAGAAAGTATACCTTATGGTTTTCAAATGATTTTTCTAGGTATTTACAAGTTCAGGATCCGATTACTTCTTCAATTTTCTGTGTATACATAGGGGCATCTTTTGGCTGTCAAGTTTTATATATATGTACTTGTTACTNTTTTTCAAATTCATTGATTAAAATGAGTATTTTAATCAATGAAATTGAAATACATCAGTTATTATGTCCTTTTCATTATCCAAAATGTCATTTATGTGTGTTCTTGAATAAATTTCATGAAATTTTTTAATGACATGGAAACTCATGGAATGTGTTCGTAGCTTATAAATAAAACATGATTTTATTACATAGTTGAATTGTATTGAGCATTATAAGCATACAGGAAATGTCTTATAGAGATTAAATTATATTAATCAGGAAATTTTAAATTCAACTTTTAGATCACTTTGACCAATCTAATAATAACATCATCTAGCTTTATCTATGCATAATCTTATTCATTTAAAAAAATTTATCTTCTTTTTATGACTGTTATTGTTAATCTAGTCTTTTGACATGCAATTAGTGGGAAAACATGAAGATCCTTACATACAACTGTCTTTACCATGCTTTTAACATCGTTTTTGACATCACAATATAGATTATTGTATTAATAAGAAATGTCTTTGACCTACTAAATATTATATTTTTAGTCTTTTTTCGGCTGAACACAACAAAATGACAGAAAACACATTAGATTTTAGCATTTTTATAAATCATTTGAAAAAGTTGTTTATATTTCTTTTCTACAGCATATCGACGTGCCTTAAATGTTGGGGTTAAAAGTCCATTTTCAATTGTAAATGCTTCTTTAATGAATTCAATTGCTTTAACTTGTTCATATGACATTAGACCACGTTTTTTACCTTCCCGAATCATATCATCAAGTATAATTTGTTTTAATTTAGCATTCAATTCAAATGACATTATTGTGTCAACATTATATCCTTCAGTTTTTGCCCATTGTTTTACATAATCATCATTCAATAAAACAATAGCAACAAGAAAACTTTCAAATGAATCACCATAAACAAATACTTGAGAAATAAATCGACTGCGTGCATAGACATCTTCAATTTTTTCTGGTGCTACATATTCACCTTGACTTAACTATAAAATAAACGAAGAAAAAATATTGAATTATCAAAATAAATAATTTGCTCGTCGATACTCTGTGTTTGAAATGATTTTTAACGTGTTGAAATGCATTAGAACTCAACTTACGAACCTTTATAAGATCGGTTTATAACTTCTAAACGAGAAGTTCTACAAGATATTTGAATCCATATTCAGAAAGAACAAAAAACTCTGCTTCTACTTCAATGTTTTCAAATTTCTACAGGCTCCTTTATGAGACTAAAAAGTAAATGAACACTTTGACTAATTACTTTTCGATCGATTGTTACTTTCAGCTATTGTTTTGATGCACGTATATCACATATGCTTTTCAAAATTTAGTTCCTTTTAAATTCTCACATGTAGAATACCAAACATTCTGTAAATATCTCGGTGAATATCTGTGTATGATCTTCAATGACTCATTCATTGAATATGTTATAAAAACAAAGGCGTGGAGTCCAATGACTAAAGCATATCTTCTATTTTTTTGAGTACTCAAAAAACTTCGATGAAAAGTTACCATAAATAAAATATTAATACTAACCTTATACATATTTTTCTTTCTATCAACAATTTTCATTGTCTTATATGGTGTCCATCGACCAATATCACCTGTATGTAACCATCCTTCTTCATCAATTGCTTCACGTGTTTTAGCTTCATCTTTCAAGTAACCTTTAAATAAAGCTGGACTTCGAATACAAATTTCTCCAATACCATCTTTAGCATAATATTCTTTTTCAGGTACATCAACTAATTTAATATAATTCATTGATGTTGGAATGCCTGTTTCACCTGATTCAATATCATTTACTGTTTGTGAACAACCTATTACACACTCTGTTTGTCCATAACATTCAATAAATAAACATGAAAATGCAGCACGTGAAAATCGACAAACTTCAGGTGAAAGTGGTGCACTTGTTGAAACAACACGATTTATTTTACCACCAAATGATTGACGAATTTTTCCAAATATAATTTTATCCCATATTGTATTTTTTGAAGAATTTCCACGTCGAATAAGTGCTAACTTACTTCGAATAGCTAATCGAAATAAAACACGGCCAATTATACCTTTTTTACGTAAGTCTGATCGGACTTTATCATATAATTTATTCAGTAAACGAGGTACCATCGCAAGAATTGTTGGTCGAAAATCATGAAAATCATCGAGTAATTTATCAATTTTACCTTGCCAAAAACCAATTTCTCCACCTAGAAAATTCAAATAAATTATTACTCAAGTCTCCTTTAAAAGAAGGTTAATTTTCGTCAGCGTTCTCGACATTAAGATAAATGCATGAGAAGATAGTCCGAGGTTTGGTCTTTCATAAACGACATAATTGTTTTTGGCATCTTGTTTTTCCTAAAAAAAAATGTTGATGGCTACTGCCATCAACCACTCGACAACTATGTTATTTTCATTTTTTCTCTGTCAATACCTTTTTGATCACGCATCCCAGAGTTCTCAAATGAATTTTATTGTAGTCAATTACCTTTTCTTCTGTTTGAAAGAGCATATTGTGATGCAGGACATGACATAGTCCATTTTTGCATTAAGCTTTGTTACCATTATATAATAATGTAGTTCGCTGCAGTACGACAACAATAAATCCGCAGTCTCGATGAACATCTGTGACTCTAATACATTAGTTAGTTTGTTTATAAGTGATTTGACTCTGTTCGAAAAACATACGCACCAATCTCATTTCTATCTTATAATTTGAGTACCATTTTTTCAGAGTTTTTCAAAACAATCAACGTTTCTCCGCTTAAAAAGTAATAATTAAGAAAAAAAGATGCTCTGTCATGTCTTGCACTCTAACATGTTCTTTCAAACAAACAAAAATTAAGTATATAGAAATGACAGCTCACAGAGAATTTCCGGGTGCCAAATGAGCTATGTTTTATTCATGTTTGTTGAATATCTTCCGAAAACGTCAGGTTATAGGGTTTAAAACTGTACCATTACCTCTCCGCTACAGGTCCAATATATCTTGAAAATTTCATGCGATTTGAATATATACTATACCTAAATAAGTTATACCAACGACCGTTCCACAACCAAACATGTGTGCTAAAGGCATATAATTTAATACTCGAGGAGGTCCTTCTATTTTCGACGTTGTTTTGAAATTAAGAGCAACTAACAAACCAAAGATTGCGCACATAAAACTTTCATGTGTAATAATACAACCTAGATTTATAAATATTTATTTCGAAAAAAAATACTAAAACAATATTTTTTTCTACCTTTTGGTTCTCCTGTACTTCCACTTGTGTACATAATTACTGCGGTATCAGTTGGTTTTGGTGGTACTAATTCAACTGGATTATTCCGACCAATTTCTCTTAATTTATCAAGTGTGAGAAGATTTAAGTGTTTTTCTTCAGCTAATTTCTTTAAATCATCTGTTGGTTCAATAAAACAAACAATTGTTTTCAATGCTACTGTTTCATCTTTCCATTCAATTAAACTTTTTACACGTTGTAAATCATCAGCAAAAATTAATTCAACAGCACTTTGACTTATTATAAATTTGACACCATCTCGACCAAGTGAATCATAGATACCTATTGGTACCATTGAATATGGCCAGGCCGCATAGAGACATAATGCATAATTGACTGAAGTTGAAGCATAAATGCCATAAAGTGTGTCAGATGATGGTTTAAGACCACTATTCACTATACCACTACCAATTTCTTTGATGATTTCGAATACTTGTCTAACAAAAAAAAAAGATTACATTCAATTATTGAAATCTAGATCTCACTTACTTATAAGTATAGGATTTAAATTGTTCATCCGATGATTGTCGAAATGAAAATTGTGGTTGATCACCACTCAATTGAATGCCATGTAAAAGAACTTCATATATTGTTTGCACATCAAAAGTACTTGAATCTAGTAATCGGTTCGCATGCTTGGGATGTGCATATATATGTTCTTTGGAATCTATTTCAACTGCACCTGTTGGGGGTATTGGTCTTTTGAAAATTATTTGAAACAATGAGAAAAAGTACTCCATCAAAGCACTTATAGCTATAACCAATCCAGTGATTATAGCAACAGACATTATTGACTCCATAGGCAGAATTATAAACGTGTACAATATATTCGTAGATTGTTGATAGTTACCTTATGATAGAGCCTTGATACAAAAGTCTGTGAGTTAAATATTATTCGAATGAGAAAAGAAATGTGTTTTTTCTCCTTTATTTAAGATGGTTTATCAAATAGATAACGACTTTAAGATTGAAAAAGAATTCTTGCAACGTATTACTTTCACTTAATATAGAATAAATATTCGTGTCAACTGTTGTTTTACGATATATGACTCTCCTCCTATAGCAAATATACACGGCATGAACTAAGGAGAAGATAAGACAAGCAAGTTTTAAATTTATTTGCAGGTGAAAAAAGAAAAGAAGTGTAGAGGCCATTATTAAGAATTGCGCATTGTAACTTCGCATCTCTATGAAGATAACTCATTTTTCATCTGTGAATTTTTTGGATACCTGCCAATCAAATATTTATTCTTACTATGGCATAAAAAAGATAAGATATATTCAAAATGACGACCACTTCAAGCTAAGAATGTCACTTCTATGAGTGACTTGTTTGGAATATGACCTGTGAATCGAGATCTAAAGTTTACATTGAAAATTTACGAAAATTATCTCAGGACAAAGTACAAAGAGTATAAATTTCAAGTTAAAGACAACAAAAAAAATGCCGAATAGAAAATGCAAAACAATAATTTTTAGTGCTAGAGGAAAAGTAACCATTCATGTTGTAATAGCAAAATCGTTAAAATTTAATAAGAATTATTGTTGTATCATTGAGTTCATTTATAAATTCTTCTTTTTGATCAAAATATATTCTTAGATTTGTTATCTAGTAACTGCATGTCTTATGCTTGCAAACTATTATTGAAATAAAAGATTCCATATAATAAATACTGTTTTAAATATTCAAGTATATCTTCGAAGCTCATATATTTAGATTTAATTAAGAATCACATCGAGACTACATAAACCTCCTGACGAAAATTCGTAATGGCATGCCTAGTTTTTTTTTTCGTTTTGAGTGTCACTAGATTGTAGATTCGGAGCGATGTTTATACGATATATGTCGACTAGTAATATATTCTTCTATACATCTAGTAGAACCTATAAACTTCAATAATACTTGCTAATTATCTGATAATTAACATGCTTTGTTTCCAAAGCATGCCAATCGTTCATAAACATGCATCAACATTTGTCAAAAATGCAGAAACTCTATTTAGAAAACAGCTTTTTACTACACTTTAAAAATTAAATCGAAAAGACCAGATAAAATATATTTAAGAGAATCTAATCAATTCCTATAGGCTTTTTTTCTTACCGAAAGCACTCATTTAGGAACGAAATACAGATTATGATCTAATCTAACACGCTTTGCTCTATTTTTCTTATAATGCATTATTTACTCCTTTGATTATGTCGGTCGTAAAGAAACATAAGACTAACATGCAAAGAAATCAATTTAGCAAATTTTTATGCTTAAAGTTTTCTCATGGTACGATTAATTGTTAACCGTCGTCTCTACATATTAAACGTGTTTCACCTGCGCCAACATTTTGCCACTGTGCAGGAACAATAATCAATAGTTGAATTCCTAGCGAAATTCATAACTGTAATCAATAGTCCATTAAGGATAAATTGTATAACGTATCGCAGCTGCGCTGAAAAATACCTTTCCATTACTTATTAGGCCATAGTTAGCCACCAAAAATAACGACGTTAACACTTGCACAAAGCAATTGACAATAATTAGTGATGCATAAATCTATCCAAATAAATTCTCTTTAACGCCGAACAATGAATCAACTCATACTCAATGAATACAGTCAATGAAAAACAAAATCTTCAACAACAGAAAAGGTCCAGCAAATTTTTATACTCAAAAAAAAAAGCAAAGCATTCCTATTAACAGATACCTTCATGGCAAGTATGCGAATGGAACACTGTCTCAGAACGAAATCGTCCACGACACCTTCAGCATTATGTCTTCGTTCAGAATTCGCTCCACTTGTCGTTTTGCTTCCTTGTCAATTCTATTGCCGCCCAGGTTGAGTCTAGTGAGTGTCTGTGTGAGTGGTGGAGATTGCTAAGATGAAGCTGATTAGAACGATGTATTACCGTATTGTTTATGAAAGTGCTGGTAAGATGTTGTGTTGTTCGGTCTCGTATTTCATTTCTGCTAAGATCGAGTGTGGTGAGTGTCTGGGGAAGAGTTGAAAACTGCCAAAATGAAGATGAGTAGTAAATTTTCTATTCTCCTGTTGTTTTTGAGAGCATTGGCAAGACGCTCTGCACCTAAGTCTCTGATTTCATTCCATTCAAGGTTGAGTGTGGTGAGTGTCTATGTGACAAATGAGGATCGAGAAGAGAAAAAAAATGAGTAGTAAATTGTGGATCACTGTGTTTTTTTGGAAGGATTAGCTAGATACTCTGCCCGTTTGGATGTGATTTGGTTATTTCCAAGATCAACTGTGGTGAGTACCTGTGGTAGAAGTCGAGATTGAGAAGACGAAGATGAGTAGTTAATGGTATATTGCTGTGTTGTTCGTGAGTGCAATAGCAATACATTTTGCTTCTTGTTCTCGAATACTTTGGTGACTTAAGTCTAGGGCGGTGAGTGTCTGCTTGAGAAATATCGCTTAAGAATACATGTGGCATTCTAACTTTCGTTTTGATTTCAGAGAGAGTTAAGGAAAGAAAAATCGTTTTGCTTTGTTCTTCCAAAGTTTTGAACCTTTGTTTTCAAAAAAGAAAGGGAATGAAAGCTGAAATTCTTTAATATTTGATTATTTGAGAAATATATGCTAGGCAGTGGAAATATTTAGCACAATCATTGATTTAGGATTTTGCTTTCATAGCTTTGTATCTGCTCTTTTTTTCTGAATTTAGTTTTCGATAGTTGAAGTCATCTGACTTTTGTTAATATTTCGCACCTGTGTTGTAAACACTGTTTAACTGTTTATCGTATTTTACTCGTGGTAATACTTTGTGAGCATGACTATTATAAATTATTCGTCATTCCTTTTTATGGGAAGTGAACGTTTTTTTAGATTTTTTCGACATGAAATTAGAATTAGTATTCTAACGCCTTTTCACGAAAAGAACATAGCATGAAATTCAACCAGATCTATTCTACGATCTTGAAGTCAATTCATGTGAAGGAGTCTTTTCTACAATTATTGTAGCAATACACAACTACAGGGTTAAAAGGTTCGATGCGTTCTCAAAACAGACTAATTATATTTTACATTTAGAAAAACATTGCAAAAAAAAAATGAAAAACTCAATAAAGTTCTCGGAAAAAGCTTGAATAGCGTAATGATTCTTTTCTTTGAGGTGTAATATCCATCAGAGTCAAAATATTATCCTCGATTTTGCGCCATCCTATAATCATGAAGTAAAATAATTGATATAATCATTTGTTGAACTGAATGATGTCTTGAAGATGATCGAAAACTAACCGTGTGATAACAGTGAAATTCATTTGATACCGAGGATGTGCGTCTGTGATCGCATTCAGTCATGTACAACCATTGCGAACTAATAATAAAATTGTTAATTCATTGAGATAGTCCAGAATGCCATAGAAAAACTCAACAGGTAATGTCACAAAGAGACAAAGGAACTTTATCAGACTTTAAAGTTTCTTGCTTTCAAACGGTATGCTTCGTTACGACAAATGTTTGTTGAAATTTATTTTTCTATATGTAGATGTGTCAATTGATGCTGTCTCATCAATCTTCGTCATGGTTGTGCAATTCTTTGCTTACAAACAGAACTAAAATAAGCGCCATGCAACGAATGTGATCAAAAACCAAATTCGCAAAAATTAACTGTACATATACAATTCTTTTTCACGTTCATCTCATACGAGACTTCCGAATATGTGTTGTTAATTGTTCGTAAGAGTGTTCATTTCTATTGATTATTTTTGAAAATTCCTTCAAATTTTTTCTGTCTGTTTTGTTTTGACTTTCATGATGAAAGGAAAGAAAACAACAGAGAAAATGTTAAAGAATAAGAGAAGAAACAAGCGAAATAGAGGAGCAAAGACATTGGGTAAAATGTCAACATAATAGTTTTATTGTTACTATACATTATATACGTATACCATCTGTATGAATACAGTACAAGACTAAAATATCACTTTTAGTATACATAATTCGTCAACAGAAAAACCCTTTTTAACAATAAAGGGAGCAAAGCTACCATAACGTCATGCTGACTTATACTACGTTACAATTCGATTGTAATCGAAAACATAAGTTATCATTAACAGTACACAAGATTTCTAACGACAGATATTGGTTCTCAATCATTCATAATGTTTAAAGTAGCTTTAATCGTTTTGAAGAAACGAAAATGGTGTTGAGTAAAAAACTGTAAACGAAATTCCAATGAAATGATATTAGAAGAGAAATATTTTGCAAAGTTTTATACGTATATAAAATTCAAAATTTTGTTTTTAATTTGTGAACCGGAGGAATTTTTTCAACTTTTGTTAAAAATTGAATTCTTTCATTTGAAGTTCTAATCTAACAAAATAATTCGGAATTTGAAAAAAAAGTGTATGGTACTGAATTTAATGGATGGTATAAGTGACAATCATACATTCAAAAAATATGACTAAAGAGGGCATAAGTATTTTTATTCTCGAAAAATTCTTAGAAGTACTTTGTAGAACTTATTATTTCTATTCGAAAGATAAAACGTTATCAATAATGCATTTCTTCTTCTTATCTTATGTTTTTTATAGACAAAACTTTGAGTTTTGTTATTTTCACTATTTAAAAGTTGTTGATGTAATAAATATTAAATGTCTCTGCTGCTCGCTTTAATTCATCAAAACATGAATTTTCATTTCATTAACCATTGAATAAAACTATTATGGATAAATATTCCTTTCGATTAACACTGACCGAAACCACATATGTTTTTAGGCATTACAGCTTTTGAAGAAAAAGAAAAGAAAGAATGAAAGGTGAATGAACAATAAAAATGCGAGCAACTGCCGATTATAAAAACAAGTTGCATATTAAATTTTATTTCAAGTGGTCTATGAACAATTCTAATCATAATAATTCAAAGATGAATTAGAACAAATAATAGAGATAGATATAGTTTGTCAGAGCAACACTTTATCAACATAAATAGAAGCTAATGTTAATAAGTAGACTTTATTTAGTAAATTTGAACTTAGTCTCGTTTTTTTCACTAGGACGAACAGAAGTCGAAACCACATTATTTGTTTTACAAATTAAAGCATCAGAAACGGTACAGTCAACACTTTTCTATTGACTTTGCTTTCATCCAACCCATGATTAGAGATGTAAGCCGATTGGTTCGGTCATCGATACGAGCGCTATATTAATCGAGCCGCCCCTCTATCATTACAGCAAATAGCTATAGAAAATAATTAACAGTCCTCAACGTCATGACACTATAATAGATATTAGATTTTTGAAAATTGTTGACACCCAAAAACAGTTTTCAAGGATGTCATTACATCATAAATGAACACTAAACTATCTAGCATTACTTTCGCAGCATTTTATTTCAAAATTTCTCGAATCTGGCAATTTTTTGAAAATGTGTCGATCATTTTCAGTCGGTAAGAATAAATGGACACGTTTTGTTTGCTATTTTTTCCTCGTCTAATACGTTTTATTAAAAAACAATATACCACAAGATGTAGCATGAAAAAGTATGCAATCGACAGTACACAGCTTGTTTTTATATGCACTTTTAATTTTCTAAATGGACAAAGTTCTGTGTAACCAATTTTTGATACTGAGAAAAAGTTCTTTTTTTGGTACACAACGAATTTCTTTTCTTATTTCATCATTTAATGAATCATTATTTTTAACTTTGCTCTACTGACAACATTTAGTACTTGTTGAATAACTTGAAGCGATATCATGCCATCATTTATTATTCGCACAAACACTTCCTGTAGGTTTTTAGATTTCATTTCTTTTTATTAACTAACACATTTATACAGATGTAATTTTCTATTATGAAGTTCGTATGGGTCTCTAACAAATAGCATCAACGTGAACGAAAAATATATCAACGAAACACATATCCATTGATCTAAAATTGGCCATCGATTATGATCTTCGATATGAGAGTGTTACAACAAGAAAAAGAATCGACAACATTTCTGCCGAACAACCAATAACATTATACACATATTAACTGAGCTTCATTACACAGATATAACATATTCAAAGTTTTTTTTTCTTTATAAATATGAAAATCGAGTTTTACATTACGGAAGAACTTGTTTCGTGAAACGAATCATTTTTATATCTCAAGTCATCTCTTCTATGCAGAATTACCAAATCGATATTTTCGAAACCAGGAGATTTTCGCTACAAAACCAAAAGTTTACCAAGATTTTTTTTGAAATTATAAGGAAAACTAAAAGATTTTTTCGAAAACCAGAAAGTATTCAGCGGTGTTTTCTAAAGAAAAGCTTGCATTTCGTTCATATAAGTGCTCGTCATTTTCTTCTAATAAAGCAATTGGAATAATTTTTTTTAACAAATGATATTTAAAAGAAAAAGACATATGATCACACGTATTCTATATTATTAATCTCTTCATATATATATATATATATTCATGAAAATATACAAACAAAAAAAGTTTACTTATAAACTGAAATGAACTAAAACAAAAGAAATATATAGGAAGAAATAAGCTATTTACTGTACAGTGCGTGGAACCTTTTTCAACGTGAGTATTTTTCTGATAACCGGATTTGTTTCAACAAATCTGATTTATGTAAGAGATATTGATAAAATTCTATACAATTGAAATAAGTCTTCATCTTAATTTTTAATTTAGCACAAATACAAAAAGTAAATTGAACTAATTTGTATAAATAAGGAACATTTTCACGATAAGAATAAGCACCCAACTCTTTGCATCTGATTAACGGATGTCTCTACTATTCTTTATGGGATCTAACATCACAATGTGATGGTAGATTATTTTGCTTGTTGGTTAAACATGTCGTTGAGAGTTGAAATAAAAAGAAAATAGTGGAAGCCAGTAGAAAACCTTGGAAAACAGTTCCTGGAACTAGAAAATTTTTCACCAGGAGAGAGACTCAAAAATCAGGATTCTCCTGGATAAGTCAAGAGATTTAATAACCCTATTTCTATGCATCTACTATTCATTGCAAAATATAATGTGTTTCATTGCTGTTTTTGAGTAACTTTTGGTAGGAACATCGTAGAGATCTACGATTTGAAGCATTCGGAAGAGAAGGTCTTGGGCCATCGAAGTATATATAAGTTTGACTAATCATCATGGACCAATTATATGAGTTCTTTGATAGAGTTTTTTGAAAATAATATTCTGAAGCTATTTCTCTTGCGATGTACACAAGGTTGAAATTCCTAGCTTCTTCTGTTCGAGAGTTATAAGGCTTTTCTTGAGACTCCATATTTCAACCAACTGACGTGTGAGCACACGAAAAAACAGCTGAGCAGAAGCGATTGATCTTGGTGAATCAAGTGGTGACATTTATTTTTGAATTCAAGCTGACCTGACACGGTTATCTCAATATTTCTTAAATTCTACTATCATCATCCATATAACAAAGGCCAATATTGTAGAAATATTGAGATAGCAGTGTCAGATCATTTCAAACCTCAAAACAAATATTGCCATTCGACTCAGCATAGTGAATGACCCCTGTCTTGTCTAGCTGTTATTCTGAGTAATCATAGGTCAATTGACTGAAATCGAGAGTATCAGAAAAAGCTTTATAACTCTCGAGCGAAACAGACTAGGAATGTCCACCTTGCATAGATCGAAAGAGAAATAGTTTCAAAATACCTTGTTCGAAAATCTTCATCAAGAACTCACCTAATTGGGCAATTGCTTACTAATCAAATTTTGATTTATTTTGATAATAATGGGTCTTCTCTCTTGAACGATGAAAATTGTAGGTCTCTATGATATTCCTATCAAAAGTTATCCAAAAAAATAATGGGGCACGTTGTATTTGTAAATGGCTGGTAGTACTTCATTTATGACACGTTGATATATGATTGCATCAATATGCATACTTTTATCCTGTCAGTTTGGCGTCCAGCGAATTGAATCTTGATGAATGTTACTTATTATTAAAAAAATTGAGAAAATTCAAGCATATGAAAAATCTAAATCATATCATAGAAGACCTGAATCTATCAAATATCTTTGATAGAACGTGTAAAATTCTCTCTATTAATTATATAATTTATTGTTCTAAGCAATCACATTAAACTTACTGGTTATGAATAAAACCTTGGTAGTTTTCTCTATCATTAGAAATGAAATTATTTCATTAGATCTATGAAAAAGATAGATGATATTGGTTTTTAATCTTTTTTTCTCTAAGAGATCTTTTATTATCATTATCTTACATAAATAGTTGAAAAATTTGTATTGTTTCCCGATTCATATTTATACTGCCATCATATGAGAGGACTTGATGTACCCAACTCAATTAGTTTATTACACTCATTCGACATATCCTTACGTCTATTCTTGGTAGATACATATTGCAACAAATCAATGTTTGACCAGCACATCACACCCATTTATATGTTGTTTTTGTAATCAATAAGAGTTCTGTTAAGTACCGTCGGAGAGCAACTATCATGGAAGTATCTGTCTGAGCAGCAACATTCATGTTACTCATCATAATATTCGTATTTCAAAGACATAGACTAGTCGCGACAAGTGTACAGAAGCAGAGTGAAAAGGTTCCCAGTCTGTCATGTGCAGAATAGGTTTGTTTGGGCCTTTAATAAGAATATTAGAAACTTCTATCGAGCTATTCTTGGAAAACTAAATATCTTCTTGAAGCAACAAACAAATATTTTAAAATTAACACACACAAGTGTTTTTTTCAAAATTTTATTTAAAACAAAATATACATAGAGCAATGATACAAATTAAATAAAAAAAAACAATAATATTACAAAACAATTTTCCTTTAAACACATGAATAACACAAGCAGAGAAANCGTCGGACACCAACTTTCGCGGGAGTAGCTGTCTGAGCAGCAACATTCATGTTACTCATCATAATATTCGTATTTCAAAGACATAGACTAGTCGCGACAAGTGTACAGAAGCAGAGTGAAAAGGTTCACAGTCTGTCATGTGCAGAATAGGTTTGTTTGGGCCTTTAATAAGAATATTAGAAACTTCTATCGAGCTATTCTTGGGAAACTAAATATCTTCTTGAAGCAACAAACAAATATTTTAAAATTAACACGCACAAGTGTTTTTTTCAAAATTTTATTTAAAACAAAATATACATAGAGCAATGATACAAATTAAATAAAAAAAAACAATAATATTACAAAACAATTTTCCTTTAAACACATGAATAACACAAGCAGAGAAAATATTTTTTTTTTTGAATATTTCTTGATTGTATTTCAAAACAGGATATCTAAACTAGGATGTCCATATCAATCACTTGTTTGAAACTAATGAAACAACTGAATTAATGTCACTATGGAACATATTAGTTCAACGTACATTAACTCGTTCAAGTTCTTTAACAGCAGCCGATGGTAAATCTTGATTGAGTTCTTTATAAAGTGATTTTAACACTTGTAATTCTTTCATTAATAAATCTACTCGATCGTTTAATGTACGATTTTCATGGGCTAATTGTGTCATTTTACCTTCGGATTCTTTTTGTTTTTCTTTTGCTTTCATTCGACTTTTTTTAACAGCTTCATTATTTTTTATTCGTCGATCATGATACTCGTCTGAGTATTTTATAACTTGTTTATTGCCGAATTTCGCTAATTTACGTACTGGACCACCACTTTTTTTTAAACCCCGGCGATTTATATCATCACGTTCATTATCTTCTGATGCAGATTCAATCGACGAAGCTCTTTCATCGTACGTTGTTGAAGGAATGCTTCCTGGCGTTCCTAAATCTTGAATATATTCATTGTTTTGTTCCATAGGCATATCAGTAAGTTCTTTGAATGTCATATCAGGATCGGAAGAAAGTAATTGATCAAATGAATCAACAGGAAAATTATCTAGCCAAGTATCGTCTAATGTAGAAGATAGTTGAGGATTATTCAGGAGTTCTTCAAGAAATAAAGTATCTTCGGCAGGTAATTCAAACGAAGGTTCGAAAGTTGTATGATCGGAGGATGACGAAGGAAGAACGTTGGAATTAGAGATAGATTTAGATGACTTGTTTGATTTGTGTACCTGAAGAGAACATAAGAGTTTTAATTCAGACTTGATTTTCATAATGGCTGCATTAGTTGCTGCCGTTGTTAATTTTTTATCATCTGCTTGCTGTCTATTATTCTCTTCTTTCTCAAACTTTTCTGTATATTCATAATTAGTTTTAATATAATCGTGGTCAGTCTTACCGAATCGAATCGTGTTGGTGATTTCATTGGACAATTTGGGGTATTCAACAGTTTCTCGTCGAATAGACTTGTTGGTATACTTAATGCGGGACATATTGCCTGATTTGAATCGTTAATAGAAGAAAAAGCCGTTGTAGGATTTTTTTCGTATTCTTGTTTCTTAGACACGGAAAGTGTCGCTTCAAAAATACGATTTCCTGTTAGAATATGGACCTGCACTGTTTTTGATGAAATGGAAGTATAAAAATGACGACAGTTTTGGTCGGAAAGTAAGTGTGTGTATGTATTGATGAAAGGAGTCGTAATGTTGAAATTTTTTGCCTTTTATACGTTCTCTTTTTCTCTCTCTTGTTTTTTTCCCTGTTACTAACAAATTTTGTAATTACATATCATGTTATTGCACCATCTTTTTTACTGATGCTGACTCAACAATAAGCGTCTTTTTTTTTTTATCTAAACCCATATTTACCCTCAGGATGGTGAATACCGAAAGTATAACTTCGACAACAAGCAGAAAAACTACACGAACGTTATTGCTAGCAATACGACAGAAAAAAAAACTAAACTTACCAACAAATGAAATTTGACGTTTATTGAATGCGTTACTGGTTGCTTTGTAAATAAAATAACACGTATTTGTATTAATCTAGTTTGCGTTCCATTATTGTGAAATAGAATATATGAATGTAGAAAAATTGAAAATTGTCTTTACACTAGCATTGATGTCTTTAAACTAAGGACAAGAAAGAAATTCTTAGATATATATATATAAATGCGATAGACGTAAAAAAGTATTGCAAGAGAGAAACTACGACGCAATAACGTCATTGCACAATAACATTAGTCATGAAAGAAAAAAAAGACTTCTCTTTTTTTTCTCGTTCTTTCGCGAATCTTATTTTTATGTTACGGACACCGAAAAACAAGGGATATTTACACCCACAAAAAAAATATATATTGGATCAATTTTATTTTTCTCTTTATTGATAAATAGAACGTTTCGATTGGTTACATCATTACAGAAAAGAAAAAAAGAAGTTATTGCGAAATAACTCAGAGTACATTTTGACGTAATTTCTGATGCAAACGTGTTGAACAGGAAAAGGAAAATATTACTAATATGATAAGATAAATTTTAAAAAATTTAAAAAAAATTTTTGAATGTATAATCATTCAAAAACTAAACTATGATATTTTTTATGAATATTTTACAATTTGACAGTAACTGTTACTAACAAAATTTCATTTCAACTAAATACTGATTACGTAAACCTTGACATTTATCGTTTACTTCACAATACTATTTTACATGCATGTACATAGATGTTTTCATATGTGTACATTTATTTCTACCCACAAAATGATCTTGAATGTATCTTCTTAAATTGTAAGCATCCTATACATCTTATTAAACTTAAATCATAACGACAGAATGTGTTGACTGATTAACAGCTTTTTTCTCTGTTTTTTCTTACTTAATAATTTCTCCGTTAAATTTCATAAACAAGAAACGTAATATCAATTATACAAAAAAACCAAAATGAATTTATTAATTGAATCAACAAGAAAACCGACTTCATCTAATTCAATAACATCTCGTTCAAAATCTAATAGTATTTCATCGTCATCTGCAATAACAACTGATCCATGGATACGTCAAGTTGATAAACATATTTGGCGTGCTATAGATTTTTTACACATTATTGTTATGCTCTTTTCATTTTATACAGCTATTATTGTTGCCATCTTACGAAATGAACTATTTGAACAGTAAGCTCACATAATCAAGGTTTCATTATAAATCTCTTTGTGCATATATGTATGTATGCTTTTACATCATTAGATGTCCATTGTATGCTAAACTTTATCTTCGTGATAACGCAACACAATTTTCTTCCGAAACAATCGCTCAAAAAACTGTATGGGGTGGTGTTTATACATGTGAATTTGCATCATTTGCTTATCTTTCAACATTTGTTCTTTCATTTATCTCACTTTGGATTCATATCGTTTTTCGACGAGTTATTCGAACAGAACGTTTACTACGCTTACCCATTGGATTATGTACATTAATATTTGCTTTAATAACATTTATTGCAACAATAATTGTTACTGATGGTGTTATTAAATTTTGTTTAAATAGTCAACAGTATATTTGTTCATCAACAGGTGAAGCTATATTTAGTCGATCAAGATGGAAAATTCTTAGTTTACCTGTTGGTACGATTGAAATATTTTTTCTTTTTTTTTTGAAAGTTGATTAATTATATATGAGAACGAAATTTTCATTTCAATATTGCAGGTGGATGGTTAACAACTCTATCTATACTATTAAATGTATTTGTTCGTGGAATTCAACTTTTTTCTAAACCAAAAAAGTCACCTGAAACATTGAAATTACTTCTTAATCAATTAATGGCACATCGACATCAACTTAAAAGTGAAAAAGATAGTAGTGAATCTGAATCTCAAATTTCACAACGATCAACAGATAAAAAACGTTCACAGGTAAATTTAAATTTTGAAAAAAAAAATTATTAGCAATTTCTTAGTCTTCACATCGATATCCTCCAATGAATCGTACTTATAATCGAGAATTTTCTCCTGAACTGTATCCATATTATTATCCTCCGATTCCTCAATATCGTCAAATAGAAAAACGTTCACGATTTCAACATGTATGTTGTTCATGTTTTCGTCGTCGTCGTCGTCGTCATCGTTCTTCACATGAATCATATCGACCATTTATTATTCCCGAAGAATATTTTCATCGTTTAAATTATCTTAAAGAAAATGGAACAGTTCCAACAAATTTATGTCATCGTCATTCAATGTATCATCCTGTTGAACAACAAACACAAACAGATTTAATTCCACAACGAAAAAGTATTGATGAAACAAGTGAAACACCATTTTTAGGACGACGTCGAAGTTCAGTTCGATTTGAAGATGAAATACCATTAGTTAAAGTTTCTGATGAATCATCTAAATCATCACAAATTGAATTTATTTCCATTAATAATAAAGAAAGTGAAGAAGCAGTAATTCCAGAATCAGAAAATCAAATTGAACGAAATGTATCTTTTCGTAATAATGAAGACGATCTGTGGACAACTATTACAATCAATACAGAACAATCTGTACCTATTCAATCAAGTCATTTCAATAGATTATCTTTAGAAAATTTATCAGTTGTTGACACATCTATGTCAAATAATGACAATGGTGTCACGGCTATTCATGTTAACAGCACTCCTACTGAATCTATAGCCTCTGAAACTGTTGAGAAAGACAATTTATCTCCATCTGAGCCATTATTCAAAGAGAAACAACATCGATCAACAATAAATCGTTATAAAACTCTTCTATCACCTCCATCACGATCTCATACAACATCAAGTGAAGATGATGTTGATCTGAATAATATAAAACCTATTGAAGAAATTCAAGCTATTGTGACAGATACATATAATTATAATAATTTATCACAAGCATTAAAGTCTAATGTTGAACGTTTAAAAAATACTTTTATTCATGCTCAAGAAAATCAATCTCATTATGATAGACCGAAAAATATTCGTACAACATTATCACAAAAATCTTTTCAAAATTTCAACAATAAAAATCATTCGAGTGATTGTTAATATAAATCTAATATGTTTTCATTGAAGTCTCATCAATCAACAATAATTTAAATTGATCATCTAATAACTAGCTTATTTATATATAGTTATGTATGCTTTCAATAAATATGTCTTATATATTAATTATAGCCCGCTGTCTTATCAATGAACAGAGCTCAAATGTCATATGTCATTACAGATTTGCATGTTTATGTATTTCTTTCTTGTTGTCTCTTCTTCATCATGTCAACATGCACATCACTCATTATTATTATTATTAATGGTGACTTAAACTTGAATATCTTTTGTTCTTTGATAATTAGAATTTTCTTTTTTTTTTTTTTCATAAACCGCTTTATGTTTCAAGACATTTTGATGACTTTAATATAGATATAGAATGCTATTTCTATTTTTTTTTCTTTTAATAGCGAAACATTCTTCTTAGTAGTGCCATTGAATCGCATGAATCAACTAGACTAAATAATGAGAATTTTTTTTGACGACTACTTTTTCCTATTAGCATTAAATAGACATCGGTTTTGTTCGATCTTTCTTTGCGATGCATTTTGTCATCGACTATTCGATTATCATCACCATACGACTGATGGCACTCATACAAAAGAAAACTGCTACTTACATGGATATAGCATTGACGATCGTGTGTTTTGTCATCTCGCTGTAGGACATATAAAAAAACAAAGAATAGAGAAAAAATTTAGAAAGCATTTTGTAGTTCGATTAAAATCAGTCTGTTGTCTTTTATTGTTCAGAAATATGCATATGAAAAAACTTCATGTCATAATAGTATTCAATACAATAATTACCTATTGAATGAGTATATCTGTGTTCACAAAATGTATCTTTGTGTATATTGATTTTTATTTTTATTGATAAGACTTGTTGTTTTGGTAATTTCCGATTATTAATAGCGTGTAATCAAGTGAAAAAATAAACGATAAGATTTGGCAAAATTTAATGTTTCATCTTGCAAGAGCAGAAGGAAAGTCGTTGCCTTCGAATTCTTACACTAATGACTACTAGGAAGATTTTTGAGCGATCGTATTATCGGATGTCATATTACAATAAGATTTGCAGGAAATTTGATGTGCTAGTAAGAGCTTTCAAGAATCGTATAGTATGGCTTCATCTGTTCTTATGTTTGATTTGTTTGACCTGAGTAAGTATACTAATTGTACTGTTCAAAATCTTGATAATTGCAGGATCAACAACAATATCAATCATGATAACTGTTAGCAAACAGAACACTAAAAAATAAAACTCGCTCAAATGCATTAATCATCACGATACATACGCTTGAAAACACCTATATCCTGGAAAATAAACGACCTTATATCCTATTATTATTAGGTTCCGACAAAAAAAAAATCCACAAGGTTGATATTCATATTTTCTGAAAATACATAAATATTGTTCAATTGGCCTTTTGACACATTTTTTTACTAAATCTTTAACTGCTTTTATACTCCCTGAAGACATTTTTGTGAAGTTACTAATCCACAAATGTCTCTTATGGCATTTGCTATCTATTTAGCTTTATGGGCTTTTGTAATCGAATTTTTTTAAGTTCAAAAGGTATAAAAAGAATTTTCCATTTTTTTACACTGCAAATTTTGTTCACATTGGTATGAATGCATGTTTAATTGTTACACCCGTATATGTAATTAACGAAAAAAAAAGTTATATTATGTTTCTTCATTTCTTTATTTTCATTATTGTACTGCTGGCATATAACCAGTTATAATTTATTTATAATAAAAGAGAAACTTCTGAAGACTAGAAAATGTCTCAAACGTCGTTTTCTGTCTTCTCAACTGCCAGTTTTTCTTACAATTCGAGGATTGCTTGTCAGTTTGCTCGTTCTCCTCCTCTCTTTTTCCTTTTTTTCTCTAATGAATCACTTTCTGTGAGTGCACGAATGTGCACTGATCTTGAGACTTGCTTCCCTCATTCTTTGTTCGTGTTTTCCGCTAAGATAAATCGTTATTGACACTGGATGATGAAGAGAGCGAGAGAAAATATGGTATAGTCATTTAGGGATTTTCCATTATTCAAGACTTACTATTCTTTTTTCAAGAACAATGGATATAGCGGATCTTTTGTAGTAGCTTTGGCAAAATAGAGAATAATAAGACTAGAACCAAAGTCTCTAACTTTGCTTTTCCCGTCTCATTTTATATAAAATGCATATTTTTTTATGCATGCAATAGAAAGATACATATTATTATTCTATTTCGTACTATATTAACATTCTACATAACGAGCGTAAACCAGGTGTTTTTATGTTTGTCTGCTCATTTATTTTTTGTAAATAAAAAAAGTTGTTTTTTTTTATACCCTTGATAATACGTAAAGCGGGCTGTTTGTCGAGAAAACATTTTTTGTTAATTGAGAGAGAATGATAATCATACAAGAACTGTCACAGAGAAAAAAAAATAGTTAACTAAATTACATGTTGTCGTGTCATATGATTTATTTCTTTTTTGTCTTAAATATATTTTGCAGTCAGTTTGAAGTAAAAAAAAATGACGATTAGAAGAAAACTTTTTTCCTCTCATCATTTTTTCTTTTCTTTCTTTTTTTCTCTTATCAAGAGATCTATTGTGACATAGCTCGTTAGTCTTAGGTCAAGCGATACTTTGTTCCCACCATCTTTATTCAAGCAGAAAAAAAATAGAAGTATACATGACTGCATTCTTAATTAAGTTTCATGAAATATGAAAAACATATACATATCTTAGTTCTTTTATTTGTTTTTTGAAAAGAAAATTTTATTTAACAATAACTTATGTATATCAATGACGATTGATGTCTCTCAATTGTACAGTGGAACCAAATATAATCGATTCAAATACTGTTTCGATTAAATATATTGTTGGCGGATGGCTTACATTAATCTTCTGTATATTTGGTAAAATTAAAGCAAAAGATTATTTTTACGGAAACATATATATATATATATATATCTGTATTTTAAGGTATTATTACCAATATTTTTACTGTTATTGTTTTACTCCATCCACGTATGAGAAACAGTTCAACACATGTCTACTTAATGGCATTATCTGTATGTAATATTTTCCTGTTAATTGGTCTTGTGATTAATTATTCAATTAAATCAATTGGTAAGTAAATTTTATTAACACGACTATGTTAAGGTGTTTTATAAGACACACATATATATATATATATATAGGTTCATTTGGTATATGTGATACTTCATTTAGTTTAGTTTAGCAATTTGAAAGTGTTTGCATGACGTTAATTTAATCCCTGTAGTAAATGTAAACAGCTGTGTATATCCGTTTTACTTATTATTAAATACAGATCAATGCTGTTAAGCATAAAACTTGAACGCAGATAAAATCTCTATAAAAAAAAATATAATAAATACTTGAACGATTGTTTCAAGAATACTCTAATATTGATAATAAAAGTCATACACCAAAATAGCCTCTTATAATAAAAACGTTTTATGAGAATGCAAATATTCAATACAATGTCAATACTTCAATAATGAGAAAAAATCATATTTGTCACCAATTATATCGATCTATTGATCCTTTCTAGTTTCGTCTATAATATTAGAAGATTTCTTCATTTTATAAGATTATACACATTGGGGAAAAGAATACAAAAAAATGAATGTCACATCAATTCTATCATTCCAATGCTGATAAAACCTTAACTAATAATTCAAATTTGTTGCTCGACATTTTGTTCTAGTTTGTAATGTCTTTATTAAAAAAACATATGCATCATATCCTTTCTTGTTAGAAAAGCGTGTTATGTTCTCGACATTTGCTGTTTCTTTTTCTTTTCACGTCGCTGCAAACGATATATAATTTTAAATAATTAATGATCTCTATCAAAGAATTAAATTTACATCTGATTTTTATATGTGGCTAGAAAAAAAGAAGTTATCGAACTTCTTTTTTACTTATTTATTATTCCATTAGCTAACAATGAAAGAAAAAAATGTCATAAAAAATAAATTGTTTTTCAAAAAGAGAATAAAACTTAAAATTTTTTCATTTAATTCTTTGGTTTTCTTTTTTCTTCTAGCTTCCTATCCAGAATTATTAGCCTATTTACGTCAACCGGATACTAAGAATCGAAACGCTTTATCCGCTAATGGTTATGAACAATTTTATGCTCGTGCTGCACCATTTACAACACCATTACTTTCTATGCTTTTACTTTGTAGTACTTATTTAACAGTGCTTCTTAGTGGAGATCGATATTTTCTTATATGTTGGCCATTAATAGCTGAAAAAATTCGCACACGTAAAATGTCACTACGTTTAGTTTTACTTGTTTTTATACTTGTTAATATTTATATATTACCACATTGGTTTGAATATCGTACAGAACCAAGAATAATTAAAAAAATCATATCAAAAGAAAATGAAACAATAAACAATAGCGAAAATGAAACACTTGTGGAATTAACATATACACGTCTTGGTTCACACGCAGTATATTTATCAATCTATCGTTTTTATTTAAATGTTCCAATAACATTCGTTATTCCATTTACCTTATTAACATTATGTAATGGTAGTATGATTCATCAATTATTATTAATAAAAAAGAAAAAAAAACGTTTAGGTCAACGTATGAAAGCCGACATACGTATAACAATTATGTTAATTGTTATTGTTTTAACATTTATGTTATGTCGTTCAATAAATTTATTTGTCAATTTACTTGTTCAGTTATCACCATGCTTAAATAAAAATTCTTTACAACGTTTTAATGCATTTGCTAATTTACTCATTGCATTTAATGGTTTTGTTAATTTTTTTTTATTTGCTGCATTTGGTCAACGTTTTCGTGAAATGGTTTTATATATATTTTTTCGTCATGGACAATATCCATTTCGATCTAATACTGATGGTGTAAGCACACATCGTTTTGCTGCTATGAGTCCAATACTAAAAGCAGGTTCTGTTCGACAACAATCTAGACATTTATCAAATACAGAAGCTGATCTTTGGGGAACTATATCACGTCGACGTTCATCAGCAACTATGGCTGATTTATATAATCCATTAGATAATGGATCAAGACAATCATCGTATTCAAATAAGAATTCATCACAATTACACATTCCAATATCTTTAAAACGAACATCAAATTCATCTATTAATATAATTCAATCACCTTTTCTTAGTAGTTCATCTGATCAACGAGTATCATCAGATAATTATCTATTGACTAAATCTAATAATAATGATCCTGAAGAACATTCTAGTTTAATTTTTGTGAAAGCAAAAAAATTAAAAAATGAAACTCAAACAGTAACAACTCTCCATATTACATGTGTTTAATAAGATTTTTTTTTGTCCTCTTTTCGTTCGTTTTTCTTTTACACTGTCATCTCATTTTTCTATATTCTTTTTGCTACAATATATATATATCAACGACAGTGATTAACATAGAAATTCTTGCATGCAATTTTGCTTTGTCAACATCTATAATTAAAATGAAACGATTATAATTATGAGCATGTAATATAGAAAATTATGTGCATTAATTTTACAAATGAATAATTAGCATTAGTCTTTTTTTAATGAAAAGAAGAATTCTAGTTTCACCACTGAAATGCTGATAGTATTCTTAACAGAATTTTTTCCAATAGAAATCTTTATACAAAATAATTTGAATAAAACAAAAACATGCACATATCTAAGGGTTTATATTCTGAAAAATCTTAAATGAGACATCATATTTTCTCTTAATGAATGAACACAAAGTGTAAAAAATACGTTAAACAGTCCATTGGTTTCAATCATATTTAAAATTAAAGACAATTTTTTCTTGTCATCTCTTGTACGATGTGAAGTAGAAACTTCCAACATTTCTTTATTTCTATAAAAAAAAAAGAAAAGAAATTACTCTTGACAATGAATCATAATGGTTGAAGAACTCATAAAGAAGAAAATGAGATGCTTTTATACTCAATCTCTAAAGTATCTGTTGAGATGCACTATAACATATCTAAGGTATTTTTACATTTAGTTATGGTTGAGAGTTGCAATATTTCTTTTTTAATATTTATTGTTTTTTTCTCGTTTTCTATATTTTATATCATTCAATTGTTAAACCAAAAACAAAAATCATACAAGTTTATGCAAGACTGTGTTTAACTAATGAAAGATGTATTTTTTTTTCTCTCTCATTTAAAATGAAGACAAAAGAAAAATCAAAACATTCATCAAACAAATATTAACTATTTGAAAGTACGTTGAACATATTTTTCATGAACATGCTGTTTAGTATCTATTTTTTCTGAATATCGTTCAGCAATTTTTCGATCACTAAAATAAGTACAAAAATAAATATGAATAAACAAAACTTTAAAAAATAGAATTCTTACGGAATATATTTAAATGCTTCTACCCAAGATCCGGTATGTTTTAATGTCATTAAAATATTATAAACTTGATCAATTGTTAATGATTTTCCACTACCACCACCAAATCTAGAAAAAATAGAACAAGATATTGATTTAAAAAGTTTTTATTACTAATAATTATAGTAACATACTTTACATATCGATCAATAGGAAATCGTTGATGTTTTATATTTTCACGTTTTGCTTTACCAAATGTTAACGGTTTTTTACCAGCTATTAATATATACAAAAAAAAAAAAACAAGCAATTTAGATATCTCTTCAACAGTTATAGCTATTTAAATCTTTTTTTTTTTAATATCATAATGTTGTTCTCTGAAGTTTTATTATGAGTTAGAACAAGAAATTTGTGTATTTAGAAATTTTATCTCACCAGCGAATATATTCCACTGTTAGATGCCATTCGACTTCGCATCCATGATCTACTAATGAAGAATTACGGTCGTTTTAATGAAGTTCTAACTGAGCGCAAGGCATTTTCAAAATATTGAAAACAAACAGTTTCGACCTGAAATTATGTCTAGAGGTACGTACGATAGTTATTAGATAATTCTTAGAATTTTAATAAAAACAAACATGTCTTTCTTGAGATATTTAATTGTCTATAGATTCGATTACTGTGTCTTCCTATGATAAACCACTATGTTCTTTTAATATTGAACTTCTCGAGAAAGACAAGTTTATTTTTGTTGAAATTCTAACGATTATCTAATGTCTAACAGTACACACTGATAGACATATTTCGATTCGAAACTCGTTCTTTTGAATTTTTCGAAAATGTCTTATCCTCAGTAAAAATTTCATTACAATGGTCATAATTGTTCAATAATAGGTCACAGACACGAAATATGAAGTCGAACGGTATCCGACAATTGTATAGGTTCCCTTGTCAGTTTTTATTCGAGAGTAGTGATATAATCTTTGCAAAGCCCAAAAAATTAATTGGGACAGTTAAATTTTGTACTTTCACTATTGTGGTTCGAAATGAGAAGTCAAGATCTTTATTTATATATCAGCTTCTAGATGAGAATACTTATTTTTAAAAACTATAGCTTAGTTTAATATCACATTTTGTAGAGAAGTATTTGTTCTACAAAATGATCGACTCCAATAATAAGCAGTATGTTCGAAAAGAGATTTATACAGTAAACAAAAATCTGTTGATTCACCATTTTCAGGTCTTTCAAAAAGTCTCTCAATATTCTTGAACAAAATTAGACAAAACAATTACTCAAAAAAAAACACAACATTCTGATTGTGATCTATAGTTTTTTAGCTCGTCTGAAATGATTTCCAGTAGACCAAACATATTCACTGGGAAATGTTGGTCAATAAGTTCCATTCGAACTAATTTTTAGACTTTTCAAAGATTACTTCACACATCTGATACAAGATTACTTAGTCCATATTTGAAAAGAACACAAAGTACTATTATAGCTTTTGAATAGTTTCTAGCAAGTCAAAAATGAACAAAAGTTTTGTCTAAAAATCACGTACAGATCTATTTGTTGGTAGAATGTTCTAAAAATTTCAACTCAAATGATTATTTTCCTTTTCAGAATATTAAAGTCTCAAAAACATAGAAAATTTTGGTATCTTTTATAGAATATGAGTGGTTTTTGGAATTTCAATATCTTGGAAAGAAAATATTCTTTTGAGCTGAAATTTTCAGAGCATGCCACTGACAAATAGACCTATCTGTGGACAAACTCTCAGATCGAAATACTGTCATTCGATTTGTTGGTAAATATCATACCAGAGACTGAAATTCTCGTAAAATGCCTATAACTCTGGACAAAAAGATTAAAATGACTTATCCTGTTGAGATTTTCCATATCTCACTAGACTTTACCCTATGCACTAAATTCAAATTCAAAAGCAATTGATCACAAGAACTGAACTCCATTTCTTTCGGGTGAAGTTTCATAATATTCTACAGGCTTCTAGTAATTAACGACTAGAGATAGAAATTAAATATCACAAGTTTTGATAAGTAATACCAGTTATTGACTTCATTTTTACGATTTTCTTAGAGAAAGAAGAAATCGGAAAAGATAGTCGATTTTAAACAAAAATACCTACTACGATCAGCGATTCCACCAACGATATAAATAGCATCATGATCAAATGATGTCATTTCAATATTAGAATCTGGTGATAAATAAACAAGTTTATCATTTGGAAATAGATCTAAATAACTTGATTCTGTAAATTCAAAACACATATTTTCTAATGATGCACGACGAGTAAATTCCGTTTGTAATCGTCCATGACGTGATAAATTACATAGATAAACAAATGATGGTGAATGATAACGTGTTATATCAGCAAATAAATATTGTATTTGATCAACTAAATTTGATAAATAATATTCACGTACGTGTTCTTCTTCAAAACCACAATCAATAACAAGTATTTCACCAAGTCGTGCTGGTGCAAGTAAAATTTGTTCACGTATAGACTTTTCATGATGTCGACCAACATGACGAAATATTGATGAATAACCGGGATAATTTGTTGGTTGTTTTCCTTCAGATAATAATTCTGCACGACGTTTCGCTGATTCAGCACGGCGAATATCATTCAAAGCAACTGTAGCCGCACGACGTTTATGACTGAGTTCACGAAGAAAAAGATATCTATATAGACAAGCAAAGAATCTTTATGAAAGTAACAATTTCAACTCATATATCTAGTCACAGTCTCGGCCAAATTATACGTCATAAGGAAATTTCACTAACTGATTAAACTCTTTTAAGCTCATATTTTTGTCAATAGTCCGGGCTCGTAACGTTCAAATTATAAGATTGGGTCATATCAATAGGTGTATTGCTTATTGAAAAACTTATCGATTGGAGTGCTTTATGATTTTTAATGGATCATTGTAGAGTGAAGTGCGGAAATGTTATAAAAGGTATGTAGCTATTTATATCTGTTGAGTTGATTTCAATAGGAAAAGAGCATTATGTTTGAGTGTTTTGATATATTGAAATATTAAGAATATCGTTTCATGGTACAATCTATAAAATTCATCTTTCACCTTGTTTCATCGATCTAACTGTTTCGCTTTTGTGATGTTCTGAAAAATTTGTTCACCTGTACTATATATATATACTAATTGATTTGTCATTTGAAAGAGTTGCGAAGGAGAAAAAAGTCAATATAGTCATTGCTAACAATACTATTCAACTTCTATTCAATTTTATTCCAAATGGATGACTTCCATTATATCTTTTTCGTATTTATGAGTCTTTCAAATAGCAATCTAATTATTGAAGTGGCTTCATCATGCAATTCAAACATTGTAAACCATGTATACTAGCTTGCTCTTCTAAATATGAAGTTTTTGTCTCAATCTATACAGACAAAATATGATTTCAAATATTTTTAATTAATTGGTAGAGTTTCTCTTATCAGTACAGATATTCACTAGCATTATCTGAGAGTGATAAACTATACTAAAGTAGAACACTGCAATTTACTATTCCTTGCACAACTGGATCTGAATTGAAGCTAATCGACATCTGGCAGATACCTTTACAGTCACAGTACGGTTTTCAAAAAATTTATTTTATATGAAAAAATATACTATTTCGTTTCTTCTATAAACAGCAACAAATAAAAGAGGTCATCTCAAATCCCACAAAAAAAAAATGGTGATCCAGGATTCACTTGATGTCTTTTTGTTTCTAAAATCCCATCAATTTCGCTAAGTGTACATTTGCTTGTTGATGATGACACTGAAATGAAACACAGTGTTAATGCCAAGTGTCATAATCGTAGATACAAGCATAAATACTTTTCCATCGCAATAGTATATGTTCACCTTTTTCATAATTCATTATCTTCTTCATGATATTCAGTTACTTCGTGACGTGGTTTATCATAATGTGTAGATGCGTTGTCATTAACA